AGTGTCCGCCCAAATCTGAATCTGTAAATATTACCCAGTCATGAACATGCTACTCTTGCTGTGTATTGCATTCAGTGCTTCTTATGTTGATATATTAGCAGTTAGTATCAGGAAAAAAAGCTATGGGATGAATTTCTCTTATTTTATGTATGTACTGCATGTATGCATGACCTCCATATGTCAGCTGCTGCTTAAACTCATATGAATAGCAGAAATTATTACATGAGTATAAAAAAATACAGTGAGCGCTCCAATGGTCAGCAGCTGAACATTCAAGGAAAACACAAGTCCCAAAAATATATATAAAGAAAATGCAGCGCTGTGTGATGTTACTATATTGCGGGCAGATATAAATGAAAACAAACCAAATGAATAAATCAATCACAGTCCAGTAATGGTGCTCGCTGATTCCCAGTGCAAAAGTTAGAAATGCACACTAACCAGAAACGTATTAATAATACACATGTGTATATGATATCATGGAGATTCCCCTCTCTTTTCTGGTCTGGTAATGGGCAGGATCTGAAGATAGTAGAGATGAAGCGCCCTCGTGTGGCGAAATGGAGGTCCAGCAGGTCACAGAAATCCTTACAGAAGTGTGTGAAGTGGAAAATTCCTCCTCTCAAAGGCTGGTGCAGGGATCAATCTGGGTCTGCAGAAGCTGAAAAGGCTCATCGCAGAAGACAGGAAAGAACCCATAGTGTAGTAGGTTGATAAATGATTTTATTCAAGAAAACCAGGAGTGTTCAGAAAAAACTCACAATGGTGCCAGATTTAATCAGATGACTGACCCTTTAAGATTAAAGATGGCATAGTGTCAATGGCGTCCTAGGCTCCACCTGACGCGTCTTCAGAGGTAGAGCTGAGGATCACCATGACCAGATCACTATATATATATATATTTTGAGTGTGACTGGCATATGCACATTAGTGCGGTGCCATCTTGCCGGAATGTCTGCAAAAAACCTACTGCACATGTGTGGCGCCATTTTACCATGGGTTTTTTTTTTTCCCCTACAATCAGACAAAGAATGTCAGGGGAGGTGACAGCTCCCTGATCTTGTATGTAGGTGACAAAAGGGATACACAAGGTGCCAAAACCGTTACATTAGCATAATAAACAGGAGATAATATAATGTATATCCCCTTACACTGTGCAAATAGGGGGAATAAAGAGAATGCACAGTAAGTACTGTGTGTAGACCAATATATACAGAAATAAAGGTATAATAAAGATTCTGTCTATGAATAATATACATATAAGTAAATTGTGTATTATATAAAAATAATATATATAAAAATTCATGTATAAAATAACATCGGTTTATTCTAATATGGCATATAATACATATATATAATTAATAATTGGAAATGAACATGATATAATAAAAAAAATACGAAAATATAAATAAAAATAATTGTAAAAAAACTATGCATAAATTGTGTAATTAACCCTCATGGTAAATAAAATTATATATAATAAAAGCAAATAAAAATAAAAATATGTATATTTCTCATATATATATAAATAATATATATATAAAACATATGTTAAATAAATTACACATATATTAATAAAATATATATAAATGATATATAATAATCGGGATAAAAAAATATAAAAAAAATAAATATATATAAATATATAAATATAAAAAATTATAAATTAATATATATATATATATATATATAAATATATATATAATATATATAAATATATAATATATAATATATATAATAAATAATATATATATAATATATATATAATAAATATAAATATAAATATATATATATAAAAAAATTATAAGAAATTTTTTTTAAAACTAAACGTATGTGAAATAAATGCATGTGGGATAAAATATACATGCGATTTTAATCAAAAAGCCCTAGATATATATAATGAATAATTGTCCTGCATAATTTCCCCTAGTATAATTAAACAATAAGACTTTTTTTTTATAAACAAACGCATGTAAAATAAATAAATACATGCATTTTTAAAAAACCATAAACATATGTATAATTTCTGCATGGTTTATATTTCCCCTGATGTGGTTAAATAATCAAGAGGAGAATATACATGTAATAAATGCACTTCATAAGTATTAAAATCATAAGAATTCATATATAAAGTGTATATAAAATGCAAAAAAAAACTCTTTTCAAATAGCTGTATATAACCTCCTAATGCAACTCAGGATAAGGTAAAGCGTTAAGAACTCAACTGAATGTAGAGAAAATATTCAACTGTTATCAATGAAACAGTTGACATCTAGTTCCACATTGAGTCCTGTGGGGTGTGAAGTGTCCAATTCATAAATATATTTTGTCTCCAGTTGTGAGACAGCTCTAGTTTTTAAAAGTTCCTCTCCAATGTGCGGTGACAGTATCTATACCCACAAACTTCAAACTAGTAGGGTCTCTATTGTGGCATCTCCTATAGTGGAGGGACAGGGAGTGCTCTTTATATCCCTTCCTAATGTTGCTGATGTGCTCACGGAGACAGCCCCTAAGTCTCCTGGTCGTTCTCCCCACATATTGTTTTAAGCAGGGGAATTCCAATAAATAAACCACATATCTACTGTTGCAGCAGATGAATTTATCGATATGATTTTTTTGGTTTGGTTAGAGACAAAAGAGTTGATCTTCCTTTTTCGTCTACCATTACATCTGCAAGCAATACACTTGTTGCAAGGGTAAAAACCTGTGTAATTAAACAAAGTTGTGGTAGTGCTGGTAATGTGACGACATTGGGAGCTATTTTATCCCTTAAGGTAGCGGACCTTCGGAAGATGACCTCTGGTTTATCAGGGAGTATTCTCGCCAAAGTAGAATCTGCTTTTAAGATCCCCCAATTCTTATTTATTATATGTTTAATGGATCTATGTTGGACTGAAAAAGTCGTAATGAATGGGCAGATTAAATCCTTGGGAGGTCTGGTTTGTGCGCCCAGCAGTTCGTCCCTGTTCATATTTGCTGCCAAGTCAACAATGGTGGTTAAAGTTTCTGTGTTGTATCCCTTTTCAACAAATCTCTCTTTAAGGGTATTTGCCTGTGTATGGTAGGTTTCAATTTCCGTACAATTCCTTCTTAATCTGAGAAATTGTCCCTTAGGGATACCTGAAAGCCAGCTTGGGTGATGGCAACTCTCTAGAGGGATAAAACTGTTACGGGCAGTGGTTTTAAAAAAGGATTTGGTAACTATACGCCCATTCAAATTCGATAAGGCGAGATCTAAAAAAAATCAATGTCAATAGTACTATATTTAAAAGATAACTTAATATTAACCGTATTGTTGTTAGAGTAGTGAAGAAGTTTAAAAGAGACTGTTTGGTACCGTTCCAAAATAGGACATCATCTATGTACCGTTTATAAAAGGTTAATTCTGGCCATTCCATAGCATAGATATTATCCTCTTCCCAATAGTATAACAAGCATGCTTTACTGCATATATAGACTGATTTTACTGTTGTGGGTTTAGTAACCTTTTTAAGGATACCTACTATGTAATTCTTCCAGACAGAGATCCTAAGAGCAGATCCCACCTATCTACCTAAAGTGGCTACACAATCTTTCTCATTATTTTGATCATTGTTCATTTCACAGAACATGGGAGATAAATTTTACCCTCTTTTTGCAGTTTCATTCTCTGGATACAAGACAATGTCTGTTGAGATTAATTTGGAGATCACTGGGTTATTCAGAAAATCTTTGTAAAAAAAAAAAAAAAAAAAAATTTGTCCATCTAACAATTCACCATTGCTAGATGGATAAGACAAAAAATAACAGATTCTGGCTCCTGTAAAAGGCATGTTCCACCAGGTGCTTGGCCAAGGCTTCAGCAAAAAGGGCTGGAGCTTTAGTAAAGCTGCAAGGCAGCTACCTAGTCTAATCCGTGATATCTTCATGGGAGACCAGAGTGGAGGTACTTTCTCAGCAACACCTTGTGTTCAAGCAATAAACCAGCCTACCTTTAGGAGGTACAACACCCTGAATACATTTTCTGCTGGTTTTCCTCTTGGTTTGCTCTCCTGAAAAATGATTGGGGACATTCCCAGTTGGACTTACCAGTAACAGTGTTTGTAGGACAGAAAGCCCACTTCCAACCCTTTGCTTGGTTATGTTGTTTAATTTTGGATATGAATGTTTCCCTTGTGTAGAGGTAGTCTTTATTCCCTCAACCAAGGGAAAGGGGGATGGCAGGGATTTTTAATTGTCTATTGTCTTTACTGTAGAATCATCTCTTAGGCAGCTGTTCTGAAAGATTCCTAGAACCACAGTTACCCTGTGAAGCCGTAAGCCTGACTGTGAATTTAATTTGATATTGGCATATCTCTAATAGTTTTGAAGGCTAAGTTCACCTTCTGGGATATATTACATGTCCACCCTATATGGCAGCCAGTTCCTCCAATCCCCCTCAGTGGGAAAGTGGGTGGGGATCTCTCTCCCCCCTTCCCCATACTTGCCTGATCTCAATCAGCGTTGTGCATGAGAATAGTGGCTCTCTCCCTCCTTTTATAGGTGCAGAGAGAGCAGCAGGACCATTGGCTCCCACTGCTGTTAATCACAGCCAGTGGAGGGGTGAGCATAGCCAAGCCACAGAGCCAACCTGGGAGCAAGCCCACATGATTGTCCACATACTAAGCAGCTTACTATGGAGGGGCCAGGAGCACTAGGTTTACAACAAATTTAGAACAATTGCTGACCTAGCTTCATATCAATATAAGCATACTACCCAAGTAGGAATTAATCGGTGACAATTCTGTAATTTTAGGAAATTAAACAGACCCTTTTACCATATCATTTTCTTGGAAATAATGTCCCTTTCGCTGATAAACAAAAAAAAAAAACCCGAACTTTATAGTCTTAAACTGTGTTATGTTTTATTGCAGTGTTCTGTAGCCTTATGTTCTTACAAAATGTTTTTATACTCAGTGCTTTAAAAGAATAAAGCTTAAGGCAGAAATTCATAGAAATGTTTAAACCATAGTACTTGATTCTCAGCCCTCAACATGAAGATCCTTTGCTACCAGCATTTCAGTAACTGGATGCATAAATGATCGATTCTTCAGGAAAGTGCTCACAGCTTGATCCCGTGCCTTATCAAAGTTGTATAGGTCCCTACAAAAACAAAATTTACAATTCTTTAGAGTAGTCTCATTGTGGCTACAAAGTTAGCATGTATACTAAAGATTATTATTTTAGATGAAGGTGTTATTTAACTACTTCCCACCTAGGGCTGGATCTGGGGGTTGCTGTGCCCACCGGATTTTTTTTCTGGCCTCCCAGGACCAGTGGCAACAGTAGGGTGGACCCTATAATAAAGCACTGAAGACCAGCCCAACCACAATGCACAGAGCCACAAGGATAAAATAAATGTCTGCACCCCCAGATCAGACGGGCTAGATCCAACCCTGTTCCCACCCACAGTCTTTATATCAATATTGCCTAGAACAATACCCTATACTGGGAATATGATAACTAATCTCTCTCTCTCATCATGGCAGTTAGCACATGTAGGTTGTAGGATTAATATACACCTTCAGCTGCCACTGCAGCTCAAATTTGGCAATATTTAATACGATTAAAAAATAAACATTTGCTGTAACTAATGAAAATTAGAGCCCGACATAAAAAAAAGCAGAGTGATTTTTTTTTTTTTATGGAAGGACTTGTTTTGTACATTAAAAAAAACATGTGGGTATGCAAATTTGCCTTAGATGCCCAAACCAAAATTAGCACCAGTTAACTTGACAATAACTAATAATCAATGACCTCTGGCCACAAAAAGGATACACAACAGGCAATGGCTAGGTACTATAGCTTTTACATTAGATTTTTCTTCAGTCTGTGCTGAAGTTAGTTTCTCTCCCCCTCGATTTAGTCTTTTGTGCCAAAGTTTTAAATCACTCCTACATTCTAGGGACAAATTATCCTTTTTTTTTTTTCTCCTCTAGCCATACAAAATAAAATTGATTTTATGTGACAAGAGCACAATTCTAGTTCAAAGCAAATTAGGCTCAGCCTAAGGGTACATGTACACTGTTGTGTGAAAATACAGCAACTTGTACACAAGATCTTGCTGCCAGCAAGATCCTAAAAAGGCTCTGTACACGCATGCAATGTTTGTGCAACGTTTACATACGTACGGCCTAATGACCTTTTTGTTGCTAGGACATGGATGGCTTCAGTTGCCTAGCATACTTTTTCAATTGACACGGATAGAGTGCAGTTGCACTGTACACATGTAAATGTTATTACTAATGCGTGCAGAAGTAGATTTTTAAAACGCATCACAGGTTTACATATCTTTACACAGCTGTGTGTTGGTCCATAAAGTATACAGCTGCATTCAGTTCTGTTAAAACACAAAGGGTAGAAAAGTTATGTTTTTTGGCACCTGTGTGCCCTAGCTTACGAGACTGAATAATGCCAGCCTGTCCACCTCATCCAGTTGGAGGAAGCTTGACTTGATAAGGGAGTGGGACAGACGTACCTATCATACTGCTGGAACACCGCGCTTTAGGCAACGGAGGCTACATACAGTTAAGGGATGCACTGATACCCTTTTATGATTGGTGATACTTTCGGTAAAGTACTCACCGATATTTTGCACTGTGATTTGCAAATGTTTGGACGCAAATTGCATTGCAAGGAATATGCATGCCATTTGAACAAGAATGTGGTGTGCTTCCTTTCCAAATTGCATGAGGTTTCCCCACTGCTCCTGTGTGAACCCAGGCTTATCATAGCCTGAGTTCACACAGGAGCAGTGCAGAAAACCTACCTGCACAGCTCCCATGCTGTCACAGAAGGAAAAGCTGGGGATTGGAAATCCCCACACCTTTTTCTCCTCTCCGTGCAGGGACGACAGTACAAGCTAGACTGCTTTTGACTGATCAGCACCATCACTTAAATGCAGCTCCTGAGGATAGGCACCTAGTCTGGCCGTTTTTTTTTGTGTGGATTGAATGGAGCAGGACTCTCCGAAGGAGTGATACTTTCAACAGGTTAGAAGACTTTTTAATACAACATGAAGGTGTGACGCACTGCTCTCTATTTATACAAGCTGTGACATCTCCAAATAAGGAAAATATGCAAATTTCCAATAAACATAATCAACCCTTCATGAAAATTATGTGCAAATGGCCTGCCCAGGGTTGATTTATTTATATTGGAATTTGCAACATATTGACAAGCTGAAATTGAGTTTTTGTGTTTATAAAAACATATATAATGTTTATTTCTTTGGGGAAGTCACAGCTTACATAAATATTGAGCAGTGCATCACTTTGTTATATTACTATCTTGAGCCTGGAAACACATTTGTGAACACAGGCAGCTCATAAAGAGACTACAGAAAATATTTATTTACTTTGGCAGCGCATGGGGTGTTTATTCAGTTTCACAGGTTAGAGGACTTGATACTATGGTTACTGTCCTTTTTTCTGTGTTTTTTAGAAACTCAAAACTGGAGAGACGGAGTCAGAATGTGTGCACAATCCTCCTGGCCTAACAAAACTATGGCCACTCTAAGGCTATATTCACACCAGTCAATAGCCACAATGCAAATGGCAGTGGCAGGAATCTACCAATCTGTGGCTGTTCGCAAAGCCAGGGATTAAAAGAGAAGTAGGCCTTTTTTATTTATTTATTTTTTTGTCCCCTTTCCCTTATTTGTACTTACCTAGGTGGATGCAGTGTTGGTCCGCTCCCTGAAGCACTGGGCTGTGGAGGGAGGGCCGGTTCAGGCTCTCAGCACATTGCTGAGAGGCTTAGCCAGGTGTCGCTCCAGACTTTGAAGTCAGGATCTTTTCCCAGCCTGGATCGGCTGAGTGAGGTCAATCAATCGCTGAAAACCGGTCACAGGACTGTCCACAGGCAACATACAGTCAAAAAAGCTTTGACTGTACTTCTCCTATAACTGCAGTGATTGCTGCTGGATGCACTTTGATTCTTGCCATTGCCATTCACATTATGGCCAATCCCCTGTGTGAATGGAGCCTAATTCTGGATGTGCACATTGCTTCTTTATAGTATAATTCTAGAAACTTGCAAAAAGATCATTGCAACCTAACCCTGTCCCTTATGTATTAGTGGTAAATTACCATTGCTAGAAAATCACTAATTGCATAAGTCTGCTTCCTTTCAGGCAGCGAACGTTGTGTTATATAAATACAGTTAATCAATGAACTACTTAATGTATACCCATCTCTTACCGATATAAAGGCCGAGTGAACTTCATCCGTCCCTGCTCTGTTGCCATTTTCAGTGCCAGTGGTATGACATCTTCCCACTGACTGAGCACGGATGCAGAGACGCAGCCACCTATGTGAAAAGAAAAAAAGACTGCTATCTAGTTGATAATGTCATCCAGGAAAATGATGGATGAAGCACTGCTGGACTTCTGTTGGCTATAGATGGATTTTTTTGTTGTTTTACGTTTTTGGAAAATTTAAGTAATTAATATTTTAGAAAAGGTGTGTTTGTTGTTTTTTTTTTTTGCACTCTCCGCTAACACAAACTGTGGAAGGGAGCTCCACATCCTTACCGCTCTAACAAACCCCTTATGCAGTTCATGACTGAACTGTTTCTCGTCTAACTTCATTGTGTGGCTGCATGTCTTCTTTAGAGATCCAAGATGAAAGTTTCCTTCCAATGCTAGAGTCACCATTCAAGGATTGTATATCACCATCATATTCCCTCTTAAGGGTTGTTTCTCCAGGGAGAATAAGTTTAATGTTTTAAGTCGTTCCTCTAATTGAGGTCCTCCAGCACCCTTATTAGTTTTGGTGCCCTTCTCTGGACTCTCTTCAGTGAAAACAGATCCTTCCTGAGGACAGGAGACCAGAACTAGATGGAATACTCATGATGCAGCTGAATCTGAGTTTTATAAAGTGGTAAATTCACTTTTTAATGCATGCTGCAACCTGGCATTGCGGAGTCTGTAATCCACTAGGACCCTCAAGACCCTTTTCCATCCTCAATGGTCCCAGAGGTTCTCCCCCTAGTGTGTAACTTGAATGCATATTTTTAGCTCCCAAGTGCATTACCCACTTGCCCTCTGGATGATTTACCCCCCCCCCCCCCCCCCAGTACTAGGCCACTTTTTTTCTTTTTTACTATACGGCACTGCACTACGGTACTTTAACTGACAATTGTGTGCAACACTGCACACAAATGAAATTTATATAATTTTATTTACGCAAATAGAACTTTTGTTTGGTGATATTTGATCACCACTAGGTGCTATAAATGAAAAATTACTGAATTTAAAAATATTTTTTTTTTTTTTTACTTTTTGCTATAAAACATATCCAATTAAAAAAAAAATCCCAATAATTTTTAATTAATTGGTTTGTGTGAAAATTATAGCATCTGCAAACAATGGTATATATACTGGAATTTTTATTTATTTTTTTACTAATAATGGTGGTGATCAAAGACCTACAGCAGGACTGTGATAGTCCAGCAGGTATTCTGACCCTAACTGATACTGGGTGGGAACTGACACTAATGCAGTGATCAATGCTAATGACAAGCTCATTTAATGTACTAATGACCCTGGGCAGGAAGGGGTTAACGGTTAGGGAGTGCTGTCACTGTGTGGTGTTTTACTAGGGGATTTGCTGGGCTTTTATTTCCCTGCTTTGCAGGGAGATAAAAACCAGCACATCACTGGCTGACAGGCAAGAGATTTGTGTTGTTTACATTCACAGATCTCTCTCCTGTCAGTTTTTCTGCTGATGGCCGAGTCCCAGCCATGAATCACTGACTGGGACCCAGTGAATGACACCTACAGGAGCCACTGACAGCCCGGGTAGGCGGGCACGTGCGCCCCCTACCCGAAATGCAGAATCCTGTATGTTTATGTGATTCTGCACAGAGCGGCCACCCTGTAGCAGTACAACTGCTATGGGGTGATTGGCAAGCGGTTAATTTACATTTTCCTCATCTGCCATATAGCTGCCCACCTCACTATTTTAGCTAAGTCTTGTAAAGTTTCGATATCCTGTTGGGCAGTTATTGGCCTGCTTAGTTTTTTATCATCCACAAACGCTGAGAGTGAACTATTTATTCTAACTGCCTATATAATTCTGAACAAGTTAAACAACATAGGTCATAGGACAGAGCCCTGGGGCCCCTTGCTCACAGCTCTCAGACAATTCATAAAATATGCCATTAGTCACCACCCTCTGGACACGTTCCTGCAACCAGTTTTCTATCCATACCATATCATCAATGCCAAAAGACCTTAATTTGTATATAAGTTGTTTGGGGGGTATCAAATGCCTTAGCAAAATCTAGATACACTTCGTCCACATATCTTCCTCTATCCAAATTACAGCTCACCTCATCACAGAATGTTAAAAGTCTAGTCTGGAAAGAACTGTATTTCATAAATCTGTGTTGGATACTACTGTACTAATGTAAAGTTGTAGGTGGTAAAACCCTGCGGTTGATTCACGGTTTTAGCACCCCCAATCCCTACCCCCTTTAGCTGCTGAGGCAACAACCAATGGTGTACACATGACACAGCAGGAATTACACCCCCTGTTGCTTTTGGTGGGTGCTACTGCCTGTCAACTGAGACCCGTTCAAGTAAATGGGCCACTCTGCAAGTGCCCTGCAACTTCATGCTTCTGCGGGATCCAAGGGCTTAAAGCAGGTGGTGAGAAAGCAGCACAATGCTGCATGTTTAATCCTTGCTTGCTGTACTGCACAAGGTTGCAGGGCAATTGCAGAACAGCCTCATTCACCTGAATGGGTCATGCTTGGCTGGTACTACACCCACCCACCATGCCAGGGCATAGGAGAAGCACTACAGAAGAGACATCAACTTAAGTGGCTCTTGCTCGCTACTACAGATCCAACTTTACAAGTAGTTCCTCTGCATTGCACTGTTTGATGCTCTAGAAAGGCACGTCAGCAAGCCCTGACCGAGATCTACCAGTCACCTGGCCATGATCTACTGGTTGCTGACCCCCAGTCTAGCTAATGACTTTCATACCACCACTATCTGTCTATCCTTACCTGTAACCTTGCCACCACCCTTACTGGAGTAGTCATTCCCCTGGAAGTTAATGGAAGTAGTCTGCTCCAACAATGTCACTCCTGAGCTGCTATTACCAATATCGTACAACTTGGTATATTTGTTGGGATATGGCAACTCAGAAGACGGGGTAGTTAAAGAAAAGTGTTAGAGAGGCTAGTCTTAACTGTAACTCAGCTACCTACAGCTGGTGCCTGAACCTCCATATCACTCCCTCCTCTATCCTGGCCACAGCCAGCACCTGACGGGTAGGGTCCACACTCGTGTTTTATGCAGCTTTGATTTTAGGATGATCAGTAGTTGATTGTACATTAACATTTGGAAGAGCAGCTGACACCTTAATCGTTATGTTTCTAACTGATAACTGCAATCAACTGCAGAATGACTATTTCTAACCAGTTGGAAAGCCATTTTGACCAGTTTCAACTTGATGATATAAATTCAAAATATGTCTACATATCTCATCACTCTTTAATGGTAACAAAATGGGTATGTTTTTATAGTTTTTAGAAATATATGTACATTCTGTATTCCCTTAGTTGTATTCCTTTTCTCTATGGGTCACCTCAGCCTGACTAAACACACTATACTCTTATAGGTGGCTTATCCTATTATCTCAGCAGTCACTCAGCAAGGATGCTACTTGCATAGCCTGACATACAGAGAAAGATGTTACATAGCAGATTATGAAATATCCCATCTCAGAAAAATATACTGCATTTTGGCCACTAGATGGAGTGGATGACCATTGGAAGTCATAGTATCAAATATATGTGGAAAATTCTTGCAGCCTAGACAAATATTTGTGACAAAATAGACCACCCCTGTGTAATACCTCAAATCTGCACATACAAAATACTGTTTTGTAATGATTAAGCCCTGGTTCAGATTGAATGCCGCTTTGAAACTGCGCTACTTCAAAGTCGCTCATCAGTGCGACTTCATGTGCGGCTTGATGACATCTCTGTGACTTTATGCACAGGTATCAATGCAAGTTGCGCATGAAATCGCAAAAAAATAGTGCAGGAACTTTTTTCAAAGTCTGTGCAAATCAGAGTTGCATAGATTTGAACCGTTCCAAAGCCAGCATAGGGTGCAACTGGTCATGTGACTTTGATTTGTCAAGTCACACCAGTGTGAACTGGGGCTCAATCAAACTAATGTGTAACTAATGAAATTTAGTCCTGAAATATTTCTTATTTTCATTCGCACCAATTGCAGTCTCAGGAATTAGTACAGCAGTTACACCAGCACACAGAGCTTGCATTTCTGCATCATTCTCACCTGTCATGTTATCAGGCCATGTCTTACCTAAAGAGAATTTCTGAGTTCTTTACAGCATTGAAGTTGTACACCTCCTGCATGCGCTTCACATGGGAAACCGGCAAGGGATCCTAAACAGAAAAACAAAACTAAGATGGAACACTGCACCTCCGATTTTGATTTCTTTTCTTATGCAAAATATTGCATTATTATTTTCTGGTCAGGAGATTGGAGCAAATTCTAGTACTATATGGGTACAACCTATGCGATGTTTAGGCTTGTAAACTGAACGTAGAACATTATTGGGAACCACATTATCTCAGATTAACTGCTAAATCCTAGTAATTTGACCTTGGTTTAGAAAATGTGCCTTCAATACAATCAATCATTTTTTTTTTAGAGGCGTATGTTTGAGTTTCTAGTATATTCTGCTCCTTGTCTTCTCACCTTCAGTGGAGGTTTTAGATCCATGTTATTTTCCAACCACTTTTGTGTTTGGTCTTTGAAATGACATTTCCGGAATATGATCAGAATCATTCAGCCAGTCAGAGATGCTTTTGTACTGGTCTATCCCAGCAAATCCCGATTGCTATGGATAACAGCACTCTGTGCTTTGCATACTAAGGCTGTATGTTTTATGTTATCACTTCCAGTCATCAAACGCATTTCATTAACTATTTTCTGCATGGCCTGATTTTCAAGGCTGTGTCACAAGAAGGACTTCATAGTGTCTCCAGCATTGCTTCCATTATTGTTGATGCTGGATAACGTCACATAGAGTTGTAGCTCTGTCACTTAGTGATTGACTTTTTTGCAATCCTTGCAGCTAGCTACAAATTGCTAACTGCAATAGCTAATCATATTATCCACTGCAGCAGCTATTGATTATGGCACACCAGTAATTAGTATCTATATAGACAAGTATTATAGCTAGCTACAAATCAAACAAACCTATGTAGCCGATTAAAGGTTGCTGGAGTGATATGGCCCTTTGAATGGCCAATGCAGCAAGAAACATTGGTACAATAATATTTGCTAGAACAAGAGTAACTAGATATCTGTTCTGTGCATTTGTGTATCTAACTCTTACCTATCCTCTTACAATAAAACCAGGGGCTCATTGTTTCTAGCAAGGGACACATTCATTGAGAATGGGAAGCATACAGTTCATTTTGCATAATAAACCATGACAGTTGTAACTGGTAATCCTAGAATGCAACAAACCAGCAGCAATTACCTTAAGAAGCAAGAGAGTCAGGAGCTCAATTTGCTGATGGGATGATAATTCTTTCACATCTGCTGCTGTGAATGAGTTCAGATCACTTTCCTTGGCCTAGAGACACATCAAATTGCATGTTATGTATGAAATGGTATTGTAGCAACAAGACAAATATGCTAAGTGAATATCACTTACCTCAACCCATCTGTTGCTGAGTGCAATGCAAGCATTAGCCAGGGTCATATCATACCTAGGTAACAAAAAAAAAAAAAAAAAACACACACTTCTAGTAGTCTGCTGCCATGCTATTGCTCTTACAGTAGGTAAGGCGAATATAAAAGTAATAAATGGTGAAAATAAACCCTGTTTTAAGCACATGTCATCCCAGGATCCAGCTGAATTCAAAAATGTATCCACCATCAGTTTCCACCTTGCAAAAACTATGACTCGCACATGTCATGCAGCAAAAAACAGACAATTAGAAATCCCATTCTATCCTATGGGTCTGGTTAATATTTACTGTATGTGCTGCAGTTCAGAGTGAAAGGAAAATGGAAACTATATGAGCCCAATGACACCTAGGCATGTGCATGAAAAGTGTAAATCCACCCTAGTTGATCCTAAATCTAAAGGATGGAACGATTGCCTGTTTGCTGTGGGGCCAGTTGCAGAATAATAAGAAATTACTGTGTGACTGTGGATGGACAGATATTTGCCAATCTTAAACTGGCCATACAATTCCTTTTGTTCAGCATGGGGGTGGAATGAAGGAAATTCAACAGATTACGTCATCCATACTACACGGGGTGGATGGGTGGATCCCCTGTTGGACTGTTGTAGTCTGACAGCTGTTAGCAGCGGCTGAAAGAATACCTAAACAACAGCTGCAATAAAAATCTTCCGGCCTGTCCTAATCCGATGGACTTTTGAACAACATTCGCTAAGAGCTGATTCACACATGTGTAGTGCAGATTGAAGCTCAGGTTTCACAGCTAATTGATACAGTAGTTTATGTCAGGTTCAGGACAGGATTAGCTCAGGATCTTCTCTTGTTCACGCATATGCTGTTTAGAAATGGTACCTGTAGAAATCAATAGCCTGTCATCCACACTTGAACCTAACCACACTGCTCAGAAATTGGACAGGAGTCTTTTTAAAACTGCACTGAATCTGCACCACTAGCGCACTGGACATATATGAAAGGGTACTAAAGGAAACAATGTTTTTTGACATGTCATGCGGATTGGATGCGGTTCAAACGGCATACAATCCGCATATATGTGAACGGGCACTCACCTAAATGCCATAATACAACCTTGTTAAAGCGGAGTCAGAGATGAGAGAAATTAAAGCCATTGCTATTTCTTTTAAAGATGCGTGTCTGGAGGATGTCGACCTCTTCCCTGATCTACTACCGAGTGAGTCACTGACCTTGAACAAGCATGTAGCCAGTGAAGTCAGTGTTTGCAAATAAACCTTTATTTACTCAACTACAGTTAATAAATATACCACTGAAACTTTTTTTTTTTATCAGTTTGCAAAGTTCAAGAAAATCTTGTGACCTGATAACATCCTGTTCTTTGTACACTACAGAACACCCCCTTTGTATTTGGGAATATGAGAGGGGGAAGGGGAGGTGTCCCTACACACTTCCTGTCCTAGGGGGCACTGCTTCTCTGTGACTAGTGAGCGTAATTACTCTAGCACAGGATGTGTTACTGTGCACGATCACCAGATTAAAAAAAAAAAAAAAAGAAAAGGGCCAGAGAAAAATAACAAATGCAGTCACCACATCTAAGGACTGGTAAGCTGCAATACATTACATTTTTGTTCATGGGCTTAGATACCCTGATGAGAAAGCAGATTGTGAGATACACAGGGGTTGATTTACTAAACCTGGAGCACTCAGAAGTTGACTGGCTACCATGCACCAGATTCTAACTTCAGCTTGTTCAATTAAACGATAAGTTCATCATTTGAACAAAGTAATAAATGCACTTTTTGCAGGTAACAAAATGTGCATTTATTATTTTTGATTGCAGGAGCCTGTAAAGCATTACACCAAAGATCAGTAGATTGCTGGTGCCATGCAGGTCTCTTGGCAAGACTGGAAAATTGCTGTTTAGACACTCTCCATCCAATCTGACAGAGCCTGAGCTATTCTGTAAAGAAGAATGGGCAAACATTTCTAGATGTACAAAGCTGGTAGAGACATCCCCAAAAGACTTGCAGCTGTAATTGCAGTGAAAGGGGATTCTACAAATTATTGACTCAGGGGGGCTGAATACAAATGCTTGCCACACATTTCAGATATTTATTTGTAAAAAATATTGAAAACCATTTATCATTTTCCTTCCACTTCACAATTATGTGCCACTTTGTGTTGGTCTATCACATAAAATCCCAATAAAATACATTTACATTTTTGGTTGTAACATGACAAAATGTGGAAAATGTCAAGGGGTATGAATACTTTTTGAAGGCACTGAACAAGCCGACAGCTGCTTAGGCTGTCGGGACCTGTAGTTCATTCATTCACAGAACCCTGTGAATGAATGACGTGGCCATGAGGGTAGAGCCCCGTATGGCTGTGCCGTTTTTAAAAAGTGACAGCTAGTACTGGGAACATCTCCCCATACTTCTGTCACAGGGAGTGGGGGCAATGGGCAACAGCTGCTGCATTGGGAACATGTTGCATGTTCCACCTCATTTGACAATGAAACCTGAAAAACGGATTTGTTTCTAGGCAGAAGCTGCACCAGATTTTGCGTGCTGCAGTTTTAGTAAATATCCCCCATAGTGTCTTCATTAACCAATAGCCTACAGGGCCCCCTTCCTGCCCAGCCCAATTTCCAGCTTTCAGTGCTGTCACACTTTGAATGACAATTGCGCAGTCATGCAACACTGTACCCATATGAAATTTTTATCATTTTTTTGTGACAGCTTTATTTTGGTGGTATTTAATCACCTCTGGGTTTTTTATTTTTTCGTAAACAAACCAAAAACCACTGAAAATTAAAAAAAAAAAAAATTTTTTTTCTTAGTTTTTGTTATAAAATTTTGTAAATAAGTGATTTTTCTCCTTCACTGATGTGCGCTAATGAGGTTGCACTGATGGGCAGGAAGGGGGTATAAGTGCCCTGATGGACACTGATAGGTGGCACTGATGAGGAGGCACTGGTAGGTGGCACTGATGGGCATTGACAGGCGTCACTGATGGGCACTGAAAGGCAGCACTGATATATGGCACTGATAGGTGGCACTGATGGGTGACACTGAAAGTCAGCTCAGAAGGGCACTGTTATGTGGCATTGATGTGGCACTGGCAGGTGGCATGGATGAGCACTGACAGCTGGCACTGATGGACACTGACATGTGGCGCTGCTGGGGCTACACTGATCATCAGGGCACACTGATCATCAGTGCCCTGATGAGCAGCGCACATGTCCCCTCCGAGGAATGCCGATTACCGGCTCTCCTCTCCTCTCGAGCTATCGGCATGACAGCTTGTGAGGAGAGAAAATGCCGATAACCGGCATTTCCCTGTTTACATGAGATCAGCTGTGATTGGACACAGCTGATCACATGACCGAGCCGTCATCTTCGGCTCTTTCCATGGATCGGTGATCTGCTGTGTCCGAGGGACACAGCACACCGCCCATCGCCACGCTGTGCGCTCCCGGAGCCACGCATGCGTGGTGAGAATGGGAGGACGTCATATGACGTCCTCCCAGAACGAGAGAACTGCCTTGCGTCCGTCATTGGACTATATTGCGGGTGGGAGGCGGTTAAAAGAACCTATAAAAAGTTGTTAGTAAGGACAGCCATGTTTCTACACTGAATAATTCTAAGTTTGATTGAACAATGTAAGCCAGAAAAGTCACAGAGAACATTGCTTCTATGTAAAAATTACTGATTCATATTGCAGAAGTCCAGGATATGGCTTACAGTAGTGTTTTGCCAGCTTTATCATATATTCCTTCATCATACTAGAGGTTTGCCTAGTGGCCTGTGGTCCATGGTAATTTATTTATAAAAGAGTATGGTTTGCAAAAGAGGACTATTTACACCTCAGGGCTTGTTTACATGGGCGTCAGCCCTTGCCACCCTCTAAAAGGTGAATCATGGTGGATCGCTTTTCAGAGGGTGTTTTTTTCTAACAACTGAGTGGTAAGTTTGTTTGACTTATAGCAGCAGTATTTACATGCAATTTGGCTTGTGGTTGCAACATGGTCTCATTCACTTGAATGGTTTGTGTTTAGTGGCAGTACTGCCAGACAAAAATTGGGGTATAATCGTTGCAAGGCATGGGTACCATGAGTGGCCATCTTCCAGGTGGGTGGTAAAACATGACTCAACCTCCTGATTTTACTGCCAGTGTGTATGAGACCTCAACTGTTAAGCTGGCCATACAAGTTTTAGATTTCTCTCACTCATCCCCACAGGACTGGATCCTCACTAAACAGTATGGATGGACAGATCTGGCCTAAAATGTTCCTGCTTGGCTCCTTCGACAAAAGCCTACTGAAAAATCTGTGTTTGTTGAGTAAGGTGGTGCCAACAGGGCCATCCCACGGATGGAATTTCAGAAGGAATAGGTGGAAATCCTGTATGTGTTGGCCAGCTTACTCTGAGTAGCAGGTGCAGGGCTGTATTTACCACAAGGCAAACAAGGCACTTGTCTAGGGTGGCATTTTTCAAGGGGGCAGCACCTCCCTCCAGAAGAAGGGATGAAAGAAGGGACGGACACGTGCACTTTAGGAACCAAGTGGGATCCGAGAGAGACTGCTTTATGGTGTGTGTAGAGCCTGACTTTTGTTCCCAGGGATGTGGGGCAGGAGTGCTGTGGGTCAATGTCAGGCTCTCTCCACGGGAGGGGGAAGGGGGGGTTGTGTTGGTCAGTGTCCGTGGGGGCAGACGATGTTTGTGTTGCCTAGGGCAGCACAAAACTTAAATACACCACTGAGCAGGTGTCTCATAGAACTCCCCTAAGGGTACACTTTCCACTGGTTGACAAAATGCAGCATACATCTTTCTCTCTCTATCCATCTTCCACTTACCTTAATGTCTGCAATCTGCTAACATCAAGAAAGGAAGTAGCAGCACCCCAATGTACAAACAGCAAACATCTTTATTATTCAGTCCATGAAGATAAAAATACAGCAATACACGGCTCTGGGAACATCAGTAAACGTGTTTCACACTCCTTCAATGCTTATTCAGTGATGAATAAGCACTGGAAGACATGTTAAAACACGTTTACTGATGTTCCCAGAGCCGTGTATTGCTGTATTTTTATCTTCATGGACTGAATAATAAAGATGTTTGCTGTTTGTACATTGGGGTGCTGCTACTTCCTTTCTGCATGTTCACTGACTGCGGGTGCGGACCGAGCAGGCATACAGACACATCCAGCAGCATGGGATCTCAGCCTTGAGCGGTGTTTACCCTGCATGCTCTTTTCCCTGCAATCTTCTAGTTTTAAAAGCTTAAAACTATTTTCTAATTTCCCCTCTCACATGATTGGGTAGTCACGGTAACCACAGTTTTTTTTTTGGTTTGTTTTAACTTTTTCAAAATTAAAGCCTTTAGTAAATCAATCTTTATCTGTGACAAGTAGGCTTTCAGTGCTACTGTAAGGTTCACCATCCATGTTACAATCTCCATTAGATCTACTATGTAATGCATTGATTACAAACTGAATGGATAGTTTAGGTAGGTCCTCATATTAAAGGCTACATTTTTAATCAGATACCGCAAAGCGACTTAATCTAGGAACAAAGGCCGCTTGCTGGTTATACATCTCATTTATAATGGTATTCGTATTTTGTCAAAGGTTCTTTTTAAATAGTCTGCTGATGCCATGTGTGACCCACTGAAGTCTCAAGTATACAACTAAAGTAGATTGTGTAACTGGGAGTGGGATGGATAGGAAGCCATATGACAACTCACGTGCGGTTTAGTGATTTTTTTCTTTTGTGTGTGTTAAATTTACATTTATTAGGTTTTGTTGAGAATCTTACGTTGGCTGCACAGGTGGTAAACCTGGTGTATGCATCCATCCATTCCAATCAACTTTGTCAAGAAGGTCCACCTACACAGAGTATGAATAACAAAAAGTTAAAGATATTAAAAAACACACAAATATACAGCACAAAAACATAAAACACTACTTAAAGAGTCCATGACACTGGAACTGAAAGAAACAAATGTGTCACCTTGTCTTTGAAATATGAATACAAGAATTTCTTCCATTCATCTGTAGTTACACTCTTGTAAGCATACACCTGTATGTATGTTTTTAGAAAACCAAGGAATACATCTGGAAAACAAACAGTAATTGTTCATGCTGTGCTAGCTATAGTATATAGATTGTAAGCTCGAAAGAGCAGGGCCCTCGATCCCCTCATGTTTTGCATTGTATTGGTATTGTTCTGTCACATGTTCTGTCCCCCTTTGTAATGTACAGCGCTGAGCAAACCATTGGCGCTTTATAAATACTGTATAATAATAATATACTGTATAGAGATATTACCCAACAACACACCAGCAGTAAAGGGTGAAAAAATACAACATTTTAAAAACACTTCACCTCCAGACATGGCTGAAGTTTTCAATCAATCAATCATTCTCCACTGTGCCACCTCACTGCTTCTAAGAGGCTGCACTGAGACAGATCAGCACTTTATTAAAGCTTTCATTTTTCTCTAGCCTCAATTCTGCATGGAACCCATTATGTCAGAGCAGACATATGATCAGGAACCACTCTTGGGTATGATTATGTGCTGCTTTTTGTGTCTGCCTGTTTAGTCAGTTGTTTCACCTCAGTGGTACCCAGGATCCACTCCTTTCCATGACAAATGTATTAGAAGGTATGCTGCCAACCAACCCTGTGATTTAGCGAGAACATCTGAAAAAACTATTCTAAAATGGGTAGATCATCTTTTTCTAAGGTGTGTTTTGTCTTTGTTTTTTTATTGGCAATACTGAAGGGCACTATTTCAGTCACTTTAAAAAAATCTGAATAAACTTTATTAAAGTGGAACTTTACGCACACCAACTAGATAAAAAATAATGTTCCTTAGCAAGGAACATACAATCCACATTAATGATTATGCTACCAAAATTAGTGTGTTGCTGCAAATTGCCTCCAGCATTGTTCCGGTTTCTTCTTGCAGGAGGCTGCCATTTCGCTGAAGCCCACAGCCCCTGAACAACAGTAAATCATAAAGTGGAATTAAACCCATCAATTTAACGGTTTAAAAAAACCAGCTACATTCCTGGAATGCCTGGATTGCTAAATGTCACATTTGCTTTGGTCCTTAAACTGTCAAACCATCAAATGGCTGGTTTGGCAGTTGGAGATCAATCAGAAGCAGCTTCTTTGGCTGTAAAGAATAGAAGAGTTTAATTCTGCTTTAAGGCGGTCAGCAGATCGGCCTCTACAGATTCACCAGTGCCTAGAAAATGGAAAGCAACTGAGCATGTTCAGAGTGAGACAGTGTGTTACTGAATTTTAAACAGTACAGTCACTTATTTTTAATGTTTTACATAGCTATACCTGCAAAAGGGGCCAGCCTGAAGTGATCTAGCAGGACTTAATTTTCTCACTAAAGTTCCAATTTAAGCACAAGTAGGTATCTAATGTCTACGTTTTAAGATGTGAAACTGATAATGATTTGTGACAAGGGGAACCCCTCCACTTGCAGCATACAAATCCGGACTTGTCAAAAAAGGAGCTTTTCACACTTAAGGGGGATATTTACTAAAACTGGAACACTCAAAATCTGATGCACCTGTTCATGGTACCCAATCAGCTTCTAACCTCAGCTTGTTCAATTAAGCTTTAGCAATAAAACCTGGAAACTGATTGGTTTCTATGCAGAAGTGCACCTGATTTTGCACTCTCCAGCTTTAATAAATAAACCCCTTATTGACCCCCGGTGCCAGTTGCCTCTAACAAAGGATAACTCTGTTGTCCCATGAATCATACAACAGAAGACAGGATCATACAGGAGCCCAGCAGAATTCATACCATAGAAAGCAAAGGAAGGTACAAACCTGGTCCTCCCAGAAGCTGTTCTAGATAGAATAGGAAAGCAAACCCTTTTTCATAAGGGACAGAAGAAAATGCTGCATCCACATCCACCTCATGCAGATTAGGGACAAGATTTGTAAGAGGATTGGTTGCCCCGAAGGTGTTAATCTATTATAAAAAAAAAATAAAGATAGCATGAAACTATTATTCAAACAATTGTGATTTTAAGAAGAAAAACAAGATGGCATTACACGTGATGTTGAAAACAAGATTTGTTGACTATAATTGCTGTTGTTTTAATACCAGAAGACGATGCAAAAGACAAAAAAAAAAATCACAATAAAAGCTTACATCTACTTCGGGCAGCTCGGCATATTGTAAAAACCATGAGGCTCAAACAGTCTTTTTATGGTTGATACTTACGTGAAAGTATTCAGTCTAATGAAAGTATAACTGTTAATGTTTTACAAATCTTATGTTAGTGTTTGGTTTGAATGTATTTACTGTATACTAATACTGTATATACTTGCAGTCATATTAGTGGGTTTATAGTGCACTGCCAGTTTCTGGCGTTCTGATCTAAGGCGTAAAGCATGTTCACTTTTTAATATGAATGTTCTCTTCGCTTACTAAAAAAAACAATTTTTTAAACTGCAATCTGAATGTCCAGTTACATGAAAAAAAAACAAAACAAAAAAAAAAAAAAACAGGGTGACTCGAATGACTGGATGATTGAAGTACACACCGCTTTACGGACTTCACAAACTGGACAGTCTATACTTTAATCAACCCAAACAGGTCAGGCCTGACTGAGCTCAATGACGTTTTTATGTGGCTGGGATTTTATCACAGCAGATATTTAACAAGAAGGCTGATCACTTGTAGTGAAATCAATATTCACAAGACAGAACCTACAAATGTAGGCAGGTCTATTAACATGTTTACAGTAAACATGTATTAATTAGAAAGTTAGTTTCTTTAGGGAAATCATTTAAAAAGTTGCTTATAATATGTTATGAGTTCATAAACAAAAAATACATGTTGTCCCATTAATAAAGCCATGCAAAGTGTACTAACCCATAGTCACAAGCAGATTTCAGTGTACTAATGGCAGATCTGAGGAAAGGGTTCTGTTCAGGTGACTACCATTTGTACTACATGTAAAATGTGTTCTACTGTACCGAATTTTGAAGTTCTTTCCAACCGCCCAAGGCTTTAAACTGCCGAAACTGTTCCCCATAGAGGAGTCCATCAATCCTCCGCTCTAGATAGACAGTGTGGCCCTCATTTAACCTGGAAATAAAGCAAATACCTTTCATAAGGCAATACAAATAAGCAGTAAAAACCTGTGACCAAATGAACACTCATCAAGAAAAAACAAAACAAACTAGCAAATAAGAATTAGAAATACAGTCTTCATCTGAGGATATGAAAGAGATGCCCATTTAGTCTAGGTTCACGTCTCCATGTTTTGTGCAGGAGCATTTGCACAGTCCCAGCAGCCCATTCATTTGCTTTACCTGTGGGGAAAAAGACCCTGACCCCATTACAAAAACATATCTGCAAGGAAGTCGCACAGAACCGATTTCCTGCACCTAAATACCCGCTGCGTTTTCTGATTAAGCACCATTAATAATTAACGACATCTGCGTCTGCTAAAGAACAGCGTGTTTTGGCTGCAGATGCGTGAACATGTGCGATTTAGACACATTCCTGAACCAGCAAATGTGTGTATCTATACCTAAAGCTGACCAAAACTGATCATAACTGGCTGTTTGAAAAGACTACGGCTGAGCTAAGACACAGCCAGACCATAGATGTAACATTAGTTATTGGCCTCCTTACTGCTCTCCAAACTGAAATTAATACTAGTATTACTATACCAGTAATACTCACAAACCCCCCATCCCCAGATACTAATGCACAAATCCTTCCTGCTCACAGCAGAGGCAGAAGCAACTTATCTGTGACCAGCCTCACACACCTGACCCACCCTCTCCCCATCACTTGTGGGTATGTTTAAAAAGAACTGCCAACACTAGTTGAATATAAATTTTAGTGCAAGTTCTAGCTTTCTAAAAATAAAATAAACCTGGCACTAAAAGTGTGCAGATTATCATCTCAATAAAATCTCTCAACCCGAAAGCTAATGAAAAAAATAAGGAAGATATTTATGAGAAATGTTCCACAAAATAATGGTCTTCACTGATCCCAAACGCACTGAATCTGGGTGGCGAGAGTGCTCTTTTGTATAATCATCCAGGTACCTGTTCTTCAATAATGCCAACCTGAGGATCTATGGGACCTACAGTGTTAAAAAGAACATTTGCACAGCCTTCTTTCCTATCTGAAAGCTCTTTCTCTGTACATAAGACAGCCTTTTAAAACAGATACATGAATAAAAGTTTTGTACATACCAGAAGTTTTCCCAAGTTTTGTTTGTAACCAAGTTTCCTGTCCAGCTGTGTGAAACTTCATGTGCTATGACCTACAAAATTAGAAAAAGGTGATCTAATAATATACGCTGGAACAGACATATACTGGACACTGCTTTAACAATTGATGTAGGAACATTTCTCAGCACATTCAGATTTCAAACAGGAAATGTATTTAGAACCGATTCTATACCAACCCAGCCTGTACAGCAGTGGTCCCCAAATCAGTGCCTTGTGAACACACATTAGACTCACAGGTCTCTGGCATGTTGCTTGCGGCTGCCTCATTAACTTGGTGACTCTGAATGTCTGCTGTATGATACTCTAGTACAGGGGTCTCCAAACTTTCTAAACAAATGGCCAGCTTACTGTCCTTCAGACGTTAGGTAGGCCAGAGTGGCTAGTAAGAGTAGAAAATGTCCCTGTGAAAGTGGGAGTAAAAAAAATGACATTGTGCTTGTAGTCAGTGGAAGGAGGAATAGTGTCCCATCATTGGTATTAGTTGGAGGAATAGTGCCTCATCACTGGTATTAGTGGGATGAATAATGCCCCATCATTGGTGTCAGTGGGAAGAATAGTGCCCCATCATTGGTGTCAGTGGGAGGAATAGTACCCCATCATTGGTGTCAGTGGGAGGAATAGTGCTCCATCATTGGTGTCAGTGGGAGGAATAGTGCCCCATTATTGGTATCAGTGGGAGGAATAGTGCCCCATCATTGGTGTCAGTGGGAGGAATAGTGCCCCATTATTGGTATCAGTGGGAGGAATAGTGCCCCTCCTTAATCAGTATTGGTTGAAGGAATAGTGCCCCATCATTGGTATTGGTTGGAAGATTAGTGCCCCATCATTGGTATTGGTTGGAAAATAGTACCCCATCATTGGTGACAGTGGGATGAATAGTGCCCCATCATTGGTATCAGAGGGAGGAATAGTGCCCCATCATTGGTATTAATTGTAGGAATAGTGCCCCATCATTGGTATTAATTGTAGGAATAGTGCCTAATTGTTTATATCAGTGGGAGGAATTGTGCCCCATCATTGTTGTCAGTGGATGGAAAAATGCCCCACTGTTGGTGTCAGTGAGAGGAATGGTTCCCCACTGTTGGTGCCAGTGTAAGAAATGGTGCCTCCTTGTTGGTGTCAAGGGGAGGAAATGCACTCCGAGCGCTGGATAGAGGCAAGCAAAGGCCCGCAGTTTTGAGACCACTGCTCTAGTATGATATCCACCTAATAATACCACCTAATGTATTTGCCAACTTATTACCAAATGAATGTTGTCCAATGTAGCAAATGTCTATAGCCTATTTTTACTTCTCTCAAATGATTAAATGTATCATCACCACTTTTGTAAAACACTTTAAAGCTAAACTCCTGGCAACCTACTGAATAAAAACAATATAGACAGCTGCTTTAACTGCAAAAGGATTTGTATTATCTACCATTCAGTCCTGAGGTTAGCTCTGCCCCACAACAAAACTCTGTCTAGCTGAGAATAGAACCTGATTCTTCTCTGCTTCCACCATCCTGTGACCTGACAGTGGACACAGCAGAGTGATAGAGATGCTCATCACTGTGCTACTTCTTTTTTTCCACAGACAGCGTGCTCCTTGCATTGCAGCACATCCGACTGGTTCCTTGTGCTAATTTTCCCTCATGCTCTAAGATAGTGGTTGTCAACTTATGAGCTAAAGGGGGCCTGGTTCCTGACATCACAAAGGGCTGTACATAATGTTCGATATATTTAACGCTTGAGAAGACTGTCAGAAACTGCAGGCCTAATAGAGGAAATGAGGGTCAGAGACTGTGGACATGCTATATTATTGGCTGGGGATATGCTGCAGAAGACAATCAGAAACTAGGAACATGCTACATAAGGCTAATAGAGATCAATCCTATTACCCTAATCATTGTTCCCAATGCAGACTGCTGAGGTCCAAGGGCCAAACATCATATACCAAAGGGCCACAAGTTGAGCATCAAGACTCTATGGGATCTGCTGTACAGACTGAAATTGAGGTATTGCAACCTTGCAAAAACACACACACACACACACACACACACCACAATAATTATGTATTAATGATTGCAGAGCTGAATTATTTTTTGCCTTGTATACAGTATCTGCCAGGAGTTCAGCTCTAAGTGTGTTAGTTTTTAACGTTTATTAATGTGGAACTTTACCCATAACAACTTGATAAAAAGTAATGTTTTTTAGCAAGGAACATACATTCCACATTAATAATTATGCTATCAAAATTTAGTGTGTGTGCTTTAAATTGCCTCCAGCATTGCTCCTGTTTCTTCTAGCTAGAGGCTGCCATTTTGCTGAAGCCCGAAACAACAGTAAATCATAGGTGGAACTAAACTCATCGATTTGTTTTTCAAAAAACAGTTACATTCCTGGAATGCCAAGATTGCAAACTGTCATATTTGCTTGTGTCCTCAAGCTGTCAAATCATCAAATGGCTGGTTTGGCAGTTAGTGATCAAACAGAAGCACTTCCTTGGCTGTAAAGGATAGGAGGGTTTATTTCTGCTTTAAGGCTGTCAGCAGATCATCCTCTACAGATTCAGCAGTGCCTAGAAATGGAGAGCAACTGAGCATGTGCAGAGTGAGACAGCGTGTTACTGAATTTTAAACAGTATAGACACTTATTTTTAATTTTTTGACTAAAGATCTACTACTTAAAATGAACCTGTCATATACATTGTCATATACATTGATGTGTATAAATAAGTGAGTAAACATACAAAGAAAAATGAAAAAAAAAGTTTTAAGTGCAGACACTAGGCTGGTTATTCTAAACCTAGCTTTACCACTTTGGTATTCATATATCTGAAACAGAAATGCAAGACTAACTTTTCAGACTTCATTGGCTAAATGCTTAGTAATGTATACATTCTGTCAATACTACTGAACAGCAAGCACCAAAGGATGCCTGCAAGTACCTTTTGAATCCTAAATAATTTTCTTGTGCACATAGAGAGCCCCTCAATCCAAAGGGGAGCTGGCCATGACTGCTCTGGATTGGCACAAAGACCAAGCCCAAGCCATTCAACAGTCCAGCATTTATTATAGTTTGTCCTTTAATTCATGTGACAGGTACATTTTAAGATATACTTTAACAAGATCTTACTGCTACAGAATTAGTGTTGACAATTAATATAACTTTGTCTGTTTGTACATAATATAAATACTGCATAAATCTCATTTTATATTTGAAGCAAAGTATACTACTCCAAAACCGTGCTACAAGAGAATGTACAATTATCTTGGGTAAGGCAAGTTTAGATTCTAGTTTACACACAATTTTTTTACCAAATATCAAAATTTAGGAAATATTAAATACTTACACTTGCAAGAGACCGGTCACCAGCCTAAAATAAAAACAAAATGTTCATGAATACCAACTAGAACTGCTACACAGAAAACCAGCTTGTAGGTCATATGAAAACAGCCTATAAGGTCAAGTCTTCTTTTTTTTTTCTTTTTTTAATTTGGAGCCTGATGCGTTAAGTCACCCTCTGGTTTATTGATTACATTACAGGCAATAAGTGGTGTGATCTCCTACCATCTTTGGTTCATGCCCACCTTGGAGAATCACTCCTGACAAAGAAGGTGTTTTCCCAGTCCTTATATTACCTCCTCCATTGTATAAATTAAATTAAAAATCCATTAGGAAGTCCCATAAACAACAAAGATCTCACCACTGAGGTACTTGGGAAATCAGAAATGGTCATTTGGTTTTAATTAAACAAATTACCATGCTGCACTGTGGACAGCTAGTGACCATAATTTTATCATCTGTCTCCATTATTTATTTCCCCAAGGTAGAATCATCCCAAGTAGATTTGTCTCATGAGAAAAGAATCAAGTTATACCACTGTCCATTCATCAGGCCTGAATCAATCAGAATGAGAAGTGACAAAAGCTCTGCGTTTTATTCCTTGCTTTTGTGATGGTTTAAAAAAAAAATTAATTTGTGTACATGTTACAATTTCAACAGAACACAATTTTGTTATTGCATGCTGCTGCTGCAAAAAAAAAAATCTCAGCTTATTTAAAGGTTATTTAAAGCGATAGTAATTTTTTAATAAGTGATCTTAATTTTTTTTTTAATAACAAATAAGTGATTTTTTTTTTTTAAATAACATATATGGTATACATACCATTCACTGCACAAAATAGCCCCAATCCTTATCTGCTCAGGTTTCCCACTGATGCTCTTGGTTCCTCTTCTTCTTGTTGTGCCACCATAGGAAGACACTAATTAATTGTGGCACACCTGTGGGCTCAATCCCAAGCCGGGCTGCCTACATCCATAGACTCAGGACAGCACAGCTAGGCCCTCACAAAAATTGCGGACAGCAAAGCCGAGGAGAGTGGCTACAAATGGGCACAGCGCTGTATTGAGTGAGGATTGAGTAAGTTTTGGGGGGGTTGCTGAGGGGCAGTATTACAATCCAATCATTTTTTACCTAAAGCAAGGAATGCATTACGGTACAAAAAAAAAATGTTTGGGCTTTAGAACCACTTTAAGAGGGCTGAGAATCCAAGTTGTTCTCTGGAGCCAGCAGTATTTTCTAAAAGGCTGATTCGGTTAACAGTTTTTTTTAAAATACATTTTTTTAAACTTTATTCAGAATCAGGAGTGGAACGCATTCTTTGAATCCCGGTAGAACAATTTTTCTTTGAAGGACCTCAATTATTTATCCAAAACAGCAAGAGCACCAAGGATAAAACTACAAAAAAATAAATAATTTATATATATATATATATATATATATATATATACATACACACACACACACACACATATATATATATATATATATATATATATATATAATATATATATACACACATACACATATATACATACACACACATATTCACACACACACACACACACATATACAACACACACACACACACACAATATATATACATACACACATATATACATACATACACACACATACATACACACACACATATATACATACACACACACACACACACATATTTTTGTAAATATTTGATTCTATCTTTTCATGTGACAACACTGAAGAAATGACACTTTGCTACAATGTAAAGTAGTGAGCGTACAGCTTGCTGTCCCCTCAAAATAACTCAACACACAGCCATTAATATCTAAACCGCTGACAACAAAAGTAAGTACATCCCTAAGTGAATGTCCCAATTGGGCCCAATTAGCCATTTTCCCTCCCTGGTGTCATGTGGCTTGTTAGTGTTACAAGGTCTCAGGTGTGAATGAGGAGCAGGTTTGTTAAATTTGGTGTTATCGCTCTCACTCTCTCATACTGGTCACTGGAAGTTCAACATGGCACCTCATGACAAAGAACTCTCTGAGGATCTGAAAAAAAGAATTGTTGCTCTACATAAAGATGGCCTAGGCTATAAGAAGATTGCCAAGACCCTGAAACTGAGCTGCAGCAAGGTGGCCAAGACCATACAGCGGTTTAACAGGACAGGTTCTACTCAGAACAGGCCTCGCCATGGTCAACCAAAGAAGTTGAGTATACAAGTTCAGCTTCATATCCAGAGGTTGTCTTTGGGAAATAGACGTATGAGTGCTGCCAGCATTGCTGCAGAGGTTGAAGGGGTGAGGGGTCAGCCTATCAGTGCTCAGGCCATATGCCATACACTGCATCAAATTGGTCTGAATGGCTGTTGTCCCAGAAGGAAGCTTCTTCTAAAGATGATGCACAAGGAAGCCCGCAAACAGTTTGATGAAGACAAGCAGACTAAAGACATGGATTACTGGAACCATGTCCTGTGGTCTGATGAGACCAAGATAAACTGATTTGGTTCAGATGGTGTCAAGCGTGTGTGGCGGCAACCAGGTGAGGAGAACAAAGACAAGTGTGTCTTACCTACAGTCAAGCATGGTGGTGGGAGTGTCATGATCTGGGGCTGCATGAGTGCTGCCAACACTGGGTAGCTACAGTTCATAGAGGGAACCATGAATGCTGACATGTACTGTCAAACATACTGAAGCAGAGCATGATCCCCTACCTTCAGAGACTGGGCCGCAGGGCAGTAATCCAACAACATGATAACTACCCCAAACACAACTCCAAGAGAATCACTGCTTTGTTAAAAGAAGCTGAGGGTAAAGGTGATGGACTGGCCAAGCATGTCTCCAGATCTAAACCCTATTGAACATCTGTGGGGCATCCTCAAATGGAAGGTGGAAGAGCGCAAGGTCTCTAACATCCACCAGCTCCATGAAGTCGTCATGGAGGAGTGGAAGAGGACTCCATTGGCAACCTGTGAAGCTCTGGTGAACTCCATGCCCAAGAGGGTTAAGGCAGTGCTGGAAAATAATGGTGGCCACACAAAATATTGACACTTTGGGCCCAATTTGGACATTTTCACTTAGGGGTATACTCACTTTTGTTGCCAGTGGTTTAGACATTAATGGCTCTGTGTTGAGGTATTTTGAGGGGACAGCAAATTTACACTGTTATACAAGCTGTACACTCACTACTTTACATTGTAGCAAGGATACACCCTCCAAATCATTGGATTCAGGTGTTCCAATCACCTCCGTCATCACAGGTGAATAAATTCAAGCACCTAGGCATGAAGACTGCTTCTACAAACATTTGTGAAAAATGGGTCGCTCTCAGGAGCTCAGTGAATTCATGCGTGGTACCGTGATAGGTTGCCACTTGTGCAATAAGCATCAGATGCAGTGGTGTAAAGCATGCCATCCACAGGACTCTAGAGCAGTGAAGACGTGTTCTCTAGTGTGACAATCTTGCTTCTCTGTCTGGCAATCTGATGGACATGTCTGCGTTTGATGGTTGCCAGGAGAACGGTACTTGCATAACTGCATTGTGCCAAGTGTAAAGTTAGGTGGAGGGGGGGGGGGATTATGGTGTGGGTTGTTTTTCAGGGGTTGGGCTTGGCCCCTTAGTTCCAGTGAAAGGAACTCTTAAGGCATCAGCATACCAAACTATTGGACAATTTCATGCTCCCAAATCTGTAGGAAACGTTTAGGTATGGCCCCTTCCGGTTCCAACATGACTGCACAACAGTGCACAAAGCAAGGTCCATTAAGACATGCATGAGCGAGATTGGGGTGCAGGAACTTAACTGACCTCAACTCGGTAGAACACCTTTGGGATGAATTAGAGCAGAGACTGCGAGCGAGCAGGCCTTCTCATCCGACATCAGTGCCTGACCTCACAAATGCACTTCTGGAAGAATGGTCAAACATTCCCATAGACACCCTCCTAAACCTTGTGGACAGCCTTCTCACAAGAGTTGAGCTGTTATAGGTGCAAAGGGCATGCCAACTTAATATTGAACCCTATGGACTAAGACTGGGATGCCATTAAAGTTCATTGCGTGTAAAGGCAAGCGTCCCAATACTTTGGGCAATATAGTGTATACATAATATTTTAGACTTAAGTTACACCAGTAAAAAAGTGACCAGTATACAGCAGAGATAGTTTTTTATGGCATTATGGACTGGAAGAACTTACTATGGGATCTTCAAACCCAGAATTTTAGAGGTGTTGCCATTTTTAATTAAGCCACAGAATAGAAGTTGCAAAAAGGGATACAGCTTTTGATTAATGGTTTACCGTTTGTTTTATGGTCTGCTCCATTTAAATCAGGGTTTGTCTAATTAAAACAAAGCCATAGTTCACTTTAACAATCCCTTCCCACAAGCACACTCCATCCTTTCCTTCACCCCTTTCTTTAAAATGTTCAGCCACCAGGAGTGAGGGGAAGAATTTATATATAAGATCAGGGTCTCTATTCAGAGCATATAAAAGGCTGAGGACTCTCTCTGCTCCCATGTAACTGGACAGATCACCAAGGAACAATGCTGCCACAGAAGAGAAAGTTGCATACTCCTCCATACCTACATACCTAGAAGTATTTTAGTAATCTGATGTATGCTGTTATTCTATCTCCTTTAATTTTTTTAGTGCTCCACATTAATGGGTAGATGATAAAGCACAAGAGCAGTAATGTGTGAAGTGATGTGTGCAGAAGGCTTACCAAAACAGTAGGTGTTACAAAAGTAAGACAGGGATTTTCCATGCCACCATAAGGAAATGATGGTGGTAAAATAAGTAGATCATCAATATTTCCCCCAAACATAAGGTCCAACCAGATTTTCAGCATATTTCAGCATTTTCTCTGTCTGAAGTTTAAAAAAAAAAAGGACAAAAATGTATAAAAAAGGTGGAATAAGAAGCAATACTTAATACCTACAGTATATTTGAAGCTATTTAAGAACATAAAAGAAATATTACAATATAAAATCTATTTTTAATGACTAGGATAGATTTTCTTTAAAGAGGGACTAAAACACAAAAACAACAAAACACACACACACACACACAAAAGTATAATTTTTGGTTAGGCAATTCTGTATTCTTTAATATTGATATTTTGTATTCTTACAACCAGCCAGCAAGTGGAACTTTAGGATTCTTTCTATATTTCCTTTGTTCACAGAGCTCGATAGTCAAAGCTGACATTTGCACACATTAGTGAACAAGTCAAACTGTGACTCTGCCCCCTCACTGCTGGTCCCTTTTTAGTTATTGTCTCTTTTTAGGCATACCTTCCCTGAGATTCAAGACTTTACTACTTATTCATGAAAATCAGTGGGGCATCATATGTGCAGGGATTGCACTTAGCTGGTAAACTGTGGACATTCCAGTGTCAAAACATGTTGCAGCAGTTAAACAAGTCATTTGGTAGCTGCAGTAACAAGCATCATACGTATTTGAAAACATGTTGTCCAACACTCCTGGTAGTGATGATAGAAAGTGTGGGGACACAGAGTGGCATGAAGGCCGATGTAGCAGGTAGCACTAGCTGGGGTTTGGAGGAAGCAGATGACCATAGATCACCAGGCAGGAACTGGAACACTGTGACACTTGATTGGCAGACAGAGAGTAGCCAGGATGCAAGCCAAAAGGCCATTAATAGCCAGGCAGGGAGGTACAGCAACATCAGGCAGAGACCAAGTCAGGACACAAGCCAGGATCAATACACAGCTGGTCAGCGAGTTACAGGAGCACATGACAGAGTCAGAAGAATACAAGCTGAGGTCACAGCAGGTATGCAGAAATCCAAGGACAGGTCAGGGGCAAACAGTTATTCACAGGTAAGCAGGTATAGCAGGTCAAGTCTCAGGTAAAGCAGGGACTAGTTGAAGATCACTCAGAAATCCATCGATGGCAGAGTGCACCTTAAATAGGCGGTTTGGTGCCAGTGCCCGTATGTGTGCACATGCACATAGGATTTCTGCACGCGCTGATACATTTGCATGGGTGTCATGTCTGTTTTATATTGAGCTTTTACTCAGAATTATGAGCATGTGCCGGCCTTCTAGTTTCAACATGTACTGAGCTTCTCTTACACTGGCCCAAGGGGGTATACTCTTAACAAGCTCAGCTCTAAATCAGCTAACAAGATAAAGTGAACCAAGCGAAAAAATGTTCACAAAGCCACAAAAGGGATACTTTTTACTGCACATGGACAGTCAGGATATCATTAAGGGTATATTCACACCAGAACTGCCATGGGTGGCTGTTTTCATCACAGTCCAACCACATGGACAAGGCAAAAAACCTGGTCTCCTATGTGCCTGGTTCACTTTGGTGTGGTGTGTGGGCACAGTACACTGAGAAAAGTACTGCATGTAGTACATTTTATCAGCGCAGCGCGGTGAGAGGCAATCCACTGCCTTACAACGTGTGGACAGCAATCAAATGTCTTTGACATCTCAATAAAGTTCATAACAAAAAAAAAAAAAAAAGGAAACGGTGTGATCCGCTGAGCTCAACAGCAGGGGAACAGCCAAGATTAATTGTCAGGGAGGCAGTTTCTCTTTACATTAATAAATGACCTCACCCCCCTGCAGGCTAGTTCATAAAACCTTGAGAGAAAACTGGAGAACTTTTGTCCATAGCAACATACAGCAGTGAGATCAAAAGTATGTGAACGCCTTGGAATTAAAGCGGAGTTCCAGTCATTTTTAGGAATTACCCACATTGTAATGTACACCGCTAGTGAATCAAGATATGGATACTGAAATGTAGAAATTTCCCGCAGAAAGTTCCTTTTTTAGTAATGTTCCCTGCGACGTCCGGTTGGGGCCGCCTAGGCGATTGCATCATCAGCCTTGCCCGTTGAATCCTGGGATATCTACGTCATCGATCCCAGGAGTCTTTGTGCATTTAATGCAGGTACACAAAGCATGCCTCGCACTGTCATTGCTGCTCATGTGCGAGATCCTGGGGTGCATGCTGGATAGCCAGCTGCATGAAATCCAGGAAATGAAGCCAGGCAGGCTTCAGCTGCCCAAATCCTGCATGGCCGCAACCACACTTGAGGGGGACAAAAGAAAAATAAGCGGTCCGTAAGTAGTTACAATGTGTACATGGGCAACATTATCCATTCTGCTTATGAGGAATTACAATGATCCCTGCAATGCTATTAATGCAATGTTGGCTAGGAGACTGGAACTCCGCTTTAACTGGTTTTCTGCAGTACGGTGCATAAACCTGTCAATGTGCTTAAGCTGATAACACACAAACAATTCTAATTTATTGCATCTTTACTGAACACACTCACTAAACATTCACAATGCTAGTGGAAAAAGTAAGTGAACCCTTGGCGTTAATAGCTGATCTAACCTCCTTTGGCAGCAATGACTTCAAGCAAGCAGTTTCAGTAGCTCTGGATCAGACCTGTGCAACATTCAGGAGGAATGAGCATTCCGCTTTACAAACTGTGTCAGCTCAGACACATTTGTAGGAGGTCTGGTGTGAATGCCTCACTTGAGGTCATTCTATATAGCATCTCTATGAGGCTAGGGTCTGTGCTATTACTGGGCCACTCCAAAAGGCGCATTTTCTTTTATATATAATAGTGTGTGTGTGTGTACACATATACACAAATCAGGTAAAATAAGTACTAAACACATCACCATTTTTCCTTAGTAAATATATTTCTAAAGGTGCCATTGACATGAAATTTTCACCAGTTTAATGAGAAAAATGGTGACATGTTCAATACTTATTTTACCCGAATAAAATATATATATATATATATATATATATATATATATATATAAAATATATATACACATACACATACATATATACACACACACACACACACACATATATCTCAGCAAGATCGTTTTATAAATAGGTACATCTTTATAAGGTTACATCACTGCATGTAAATTTAAGCATGTACAACCAACCTCTGCAAACTCATAGGCAGAAGCCTCTAGCAGCTCCTTCTCAGTCCATACTGTTGTTCTGGGGCCAATCTTCCTGTGAAGATAATAACATTGAGACACATTTTAGAGCCCTTATGTAGTATTAAAGTAAGCCACCAAAAAATGTTTCTCATCAAGGCAGCAGAACTGTATGCATACTAAGAGTTCTAAAAATGCTAGACATATTTTATGCATTTTTGCAAGTTCAAAAAAAAAAAAAAAACAAAAACAAAAAAAAAACAAAACATACATTCTTGTGGAAAATATGAGGGTGGCCATTGATTGCCTCCTTCAAAAATTGCTAGCTGTTCAACTAATATGCCAATCCACTGGCTTTACAAGTCACTGTCCTGAGACAAGTAAGTGGATTATATAAGTAAGAATAAAGGCTGAACCCCTTATCTGCATACCTGTCCCAGGTAATGACTCCAAGTATTATAAAGGATCACAGCAAAGACAGTTCAACAAGCTACATTTGAAAAATGGTCATCAGTCCAAAAACATATAACCCCCTTCTAGAACTCTTGACACTGTATACATTGTTGTAGGTTACATAACCCAAAATGTTCTCCCACTCTGTATACTATGCTGTGGATTCTATACCCCAAGTTTCTCCACTGTGCACACTGTACTGTACATTACATACTCTGGGGGACTGCTATGTATGGTGTGCTGTATGTCGCTCTAAACTGCCACACTGTGTTAGAGAACATTCCATACCAGTGTTATTTTCAATTCTTATCTTGTGTTATATGTTACATACTCCAGATCATCCCCACCCTGTGTACTGTGATGTACAAATCTATACCTTGGACTATTCTATTCTGTAAGCTGTGCTGCATGTTATATACTGTGAAAAATTAGCAAATGGACACTCTTTTGCTTGTATAATTAGATCTCACAAGGACACATTTACACAAAAATCAAAGACAAAATGTGTTCAGACATGCCATACAACCTGGAGGTCAGAGGTTTTGTCTTTTATATTTAACTGGCTGAGAAAAATAAAATGTGCTACATATGTTGAAAAAAACTCATCAAAATACACAAATTGTGTGTAGCATATCCAATCATTCTGCCCTTCAGGTGTAAATGAGCCCTTAAGTCCTTAAAAACAATATACTGTATGTATTACTTTGCTGTCTTAAGATATTACAAAGTAATTGATTAAGTTCATAGCATAAGTGTAAAGATTTCTCTGGTCCATAGGTGATGTACAGGTGTGAAAGGAAAGTGATTAAAAAAAGCTGAAGATGAAACACATTTCTGCAGTTAGGTTACCTTCCTTCTAAAGCTCCAACAACCAGGGCAATTAGGTAGCTTGGTATTGGCACCTAATATAAACAAAATAGATTGTTACATGAACAGGTGAATTTACTACGCTGGCTAATCTAAGTCAAATGTTAAGTGCCAAATGACAAATTCCACAATCATTAGCTTTCTAAAGCAGTCAGACCATTTAATAGCCACCTGTGCACCAACAGTCTCATTCATAACACATTTGACTTTCATTTTCCTCAACAGCAAATCCCTGTCTCAGTAACATTTGCCATAATTACGGTATGTAACAAGCCACCAGTTTGGTACATTTGTAGACGGTAAAGGTTGAATTATCGATTTATGTGTATGTAACCCAAGAATGTAATATATTGCAGATTATTAGTGATGTAGTGGCTGTACTGGTTTTCTTTTTTCAAGCTTCTTTTGCTTTATTTTTACTTTGCAATCTTGCAAATAACACACTTCCTGTCCCTGTGTGGCTACATCACTCCTCCACTGTATCTATAGAGAAAGCCATGGTTGTCAGCCTAGCCTGCTCTCCTGGTAGACTCCAAAAACATCCATACCTCTTAATTTCCATTACATGGAGGGTAGGGCAGTAGGTAGCATTAGCTACTGTAGATAGCTAGGAAGGTAGATATTCTATGGTGCAGCTCACAGGACGTAACATGGACACTGCATTTTTGGCAAGATTAATAGGTCTTTTCTGTAATTGCTGAAGAGGTTCTCAGTGTGACAAAAAAGAAAACAAATGCGGCCACCACAGCCAAGACTAAGTTGCAATATATTGCATTTTTGTTCTTGAGTTTAGTTATCCTTTAGGCTAGGTTCACACTAGTGCAGTTCAATTTTGATCCGATTTTCAATGCGATTTTGTAGTGCAGCTGCAGTGCAACTTTTTGTGTTCTTTATACTTTTTCTAATGTGTGTTTCAGCTACTGGCTATCCCCCACACTCCACCAGTCCAGGGTTGTGGGAAAGTGCCACTTGTCCTCATCAACATGGTTCCCCCTTCCCCTCCAGTCTGCTGGGATACATGCTCAGATAAGGTTTGGTAATGCTTATGGAGTGGACCCCATGCATTTTTTTTTTTTGACATGGGTCGCCTTAAAATCCATATCATACCTAAAAGGGCATGGTGTGGATTGGAGGGGGAACCCCCATGCTGTTGATTTTTTTTATTGCTTGCTGACAGCAGGGGCGAGTCACTGGATGTTAGGAAGCCGCTGGGTGTCAGCTCCTAACAACCAGCATGAATCACAGACAAAAAAACATTAAAAAAAAAAAAAACACATGCATATGTGATTCTGCTGCGTTTCTATTGAAGTCTATGGACCACAAAACCGCACCAAAGTAGCACAGGACCCTTCCTCAAAGGCTGTGCTGCATTGATGTGAACAAGCTCCATGGAGGCAATGTTATTTCCATTGTCATGCGATTCAGTGCGACCCAAAGCACCAATGCACCCAAAGTACTGCATGCAATTCAGTGTGACCTGTAATCTCATCAGTGTGAACCAGGCCTTAATGAGCGAGATTATATATATATATATATATATATATATATATATATATATATATATAATATATATATATATATATATATATATAATCACCAGCGCCAAAACCGTGAAATTATATACTAAATAAATGCTGCTGCTCATTAGTATAAAAACACCAAAAAATGATATAAGACATCAAAACAGCACAAATATAAATAAATATATGCTCCAGTGAAAAAAAAAATACTAAAAAAATTAATTTATTTTTTTTTTTATTCCACTCCAAATCAATAAATTGAAAAATAAAAAAAATAAAAAACATTCATAAAAGTCCTTTTTCCAAAAAAAAAAAAAAAAAAAAAAAAAAAAAAACACAACAAACTTTTGACCTGTGTTTCCACCGAAATAGTGCTCAAATACCACACCGCACTCACATCTGGTGAGTGCGGTGTAGTATTTGAGCACTATTTCGGTGGCAACACGGGTCAAAAGTTTTTTTTGGAAAAAGGACTTTTATGAATATGTTTTTTATTTTTATTTTTCACTTTATTGATTTGGAGTGGGACTTATTAATTAATCAATTTTTATTAATTATTATTTTTATTTATATTTTTCACTGGAGTATATATTTATTTATTTATATATTTTGATGTCTTATATTAATGAGCGATTTGCCATTTTTTTCTCAAATAGGACCTAGTTATGATGACTCACTTTGCCATGCATTAAAATGTATATGTTTGACACCCTTTCAATCCTCATTTACTGCTATTTATTCCCTCTTCCTGACCTCGGGGACGTTTATAATGATTTTTCATTTGTAAGGCAAATTTAAGCAGTTTATAAATATGTCCCTTTGTAATAAACTATCCGCTACAAACTGTGGTCTTGGCAACTAGGGGAGACTGGTGAACAAAAAGACATTTAACCAAATTTACACTTTCAGGTTTCTTATACACACTATACACAAACAAGGCTTGAGGTTTTGAAATACAAGAAGAATTTTTAGATACAACAAAAAGAAATAAAAACAAACAAAAAAGTTTACTGTAAATAAAAATTAATTTAGATTTAAAACATTATTTGTAATGGAAGCAATGGAAGGGAAAATCTACATTTTGCTTGAAGCGATAGATCTTCCTCTTGCTGTCATTTGGATCAAGGAAATCCCCATCATTAAGAGCACTCATCAGCGCCACTAGTTCTTTAGGAATGGAAACCTGATGGAAAAAATTAAAATATTTTGCTGCAATACTTTAAAAAAAGGTACATTGTAACACATTTATGAGCCAATAACATACTCAAAGTTACATTCGTATTTGGTAACAAACCTGACTGTAGTAGGTGAATTTCACACCTGGAGTATCTTGACAAGGAATGATTGTTCTGCAATGTGTAGCCTGGAAAATACAAACATGAGGGAACTGTGACTAAAGCAGCTGAGTAAGATGAGCACTGGCATTTAACTGTGATCACAAACATTTTTCACAAGTGTTTAAAATGTTCAATGTAAAAATAATGAACTAAACAAAACATGTCAGTCTAGTTAAAATTTCAAAATGAATGAAATCAGTTCTAAAAAGTGAAGACAAAAACAGTGTTTGCAGGCTTCATTCACAAACTATTTGTGCTCCAGAGCAGAGCAGGTTTTGGAGCTGAGGGGGTATGGTGACATGAAAGAGGCCCAGTTTCTGTGCATAGCACCCAAACCAGACATTCTGCTTAGCAATGTATGAAACAGTAGTTATAAAAACTGGATAGCAGAGCCTCTTAGCTTTTGATAAATCTGAAAGAAGACTACACAATCAAGCTATAACGTGTGTGGCCAGCTAAAGGGCTTGTACACACAGGTACATGTGTGAAAATCACATCTAGCACTGGGAATGAATGGACTGCAGGCATGTTTGACATAACTGTATAAGTTCATTTGATCATGAAGCAAAGCATTATTTTGATATATTCCTTCTGCCCTTGTTATCAAGGCAGCAGTCAAGTTTGATATCTGCATACAATATTGAGACTTTAATTTATATATGGGAGTATTACCTTAAAGCATATCCAAAAGGTTAATATATTGCTGCTTACTAGTCCTTAGATGTGGGGGCTTAAATTTGATTTTTGTTTCTCCCCAAGCTACTTTTGCTTTATTTTATCCTAGTAATCCTGCAAATAACAGATTTCATGTCCTTGGGTGGCTACATCGCTCCTCTACTGTATCTATGGAGGGATCAACCTAAGCTGTGCTCCTGATATGGATTACAAGCATGTCTCTATCTCTATCTCCATTACATGGAGGCAGAGCAGTTTGTAGTTTAGACACATCATTTCTGGCCAGATTAGAGGGTATTTTCTGTGTTTGCTAAAAATGTTCTTGGCTTAGAAAAAAAAAGAAAAATAATGCAACCATCACATCTGAGGTCTGTAACCCGCAATATATTGCATTTTGGGTTTATTTATCCTTAAAAAAAAAAAAATAATTTAAAATTGAGGTATGAACAAGCTACTCCAACTTAAAGGGGTTCTACAGGCACAAGGTTTTTTACCTTCATGCATTCTATGCATGAAGGTAAAAAAAAAAACAACCTTCTGTGTGTAGTTGTCCTGCCAGTCCCCCTAATACTTACCTGAGCCCTATCCTGATCCAGCGATGTCCTCTGTTCTCCAGAGACTCACTCCTTATTATCTGAGGCAGCAGCGGGAGCCATGTGCTCCTGCTACTGTCAATCACTGCCAAGGAGCCAATCAGGAGGGAGGGGTAGGGCAGAATCACAGTTGTGGGTGAATGGGCACACAGAGCTGAGGCTCAGGAGCACGCCTGCTCAGGTGCCCCCATAACAAGCTGCTTGCTGTCGGGGTACCCGACAGTATGGAGGGGCCAGGAGTGCCGGCGGGGGACCCAATAATTATATTTCTCCTTTGTTGATTATATATGGATTTTTATAGATTGATAAAATGATCTTTTATATTACTTTACAAAATACTTTAATACATGATTCTTTCATGACAGTTTTAAGCGTATGCTGGACTTTTTCATTTAAAAAAAAAAGCCAATCACTGCCTTTTTCCTTGTTGACGGGTGCTCCATAAATGAAAACTTCCACAGAAGTTATGAACAATAATGCAACATAATTTTTCCCCTCTTACACATAGTTGGTTACAATAGTTTTTATTGATTTCTTCTGGCACAATTCTTGTAGTTTTGCTTTATGCTTGACTTTACTTCTTCACCTGCAGAGGGCGCCAGTAGATTGTGATCTACTAGTAGATCATGGCCAGGGCTTGCTGACCCGCCATCCCAGAGCATCAAACAAAGTGCAATGCACAGGGACTACATGCAGAATTGGAGCTGTAGTAGGGGGCAGGAGCCACATAAGCTGATGCCTCCTCTGTAGTGCTGGCTCCTGTCCAATGTGGAGTGATACCAACTGCACGCCACATCCTGGCTAGCGGTCTCCAGAGTGGTGCCAGCAGCAGGTGGGACGACATCTTCAAGTCAGTGTGAAGCTGCAGCCCATCAGTGTGATAGAAGCCTTATAGGGGGCTCAGAACAGTAAGGGTTTGTTTACATTTTGGGGGTAGTAAAACCCCACAGTAAAGACGTGTTTTTACAACTGCCACCCAACCGCACCCCCTTTAGCTGCAGCAGCCAGGGGTGTACACATGTTGCAGCCACATCAGGAGTTAAACTTTCTGTGATGGTTGGTGTGTGTAGCACCTGCTAAGCATGACCCATTCAAGTGAATGAGGCCCCTCTGCAAGTGCCCTGCAACCTTGTAAACAAGGTGTTAAAGCAGGCAACTTTGTGCTGCTTTCTCACCTCCTGCATTAACCTCTTGGACCCCACAGAAGCAAGCAGTGCGGGAAGCTTGCAGATTGGCCCCATTTACTTGAATGGGTCCTGACTGGAAGGCTGTAGCACCCACGAAAAATACCAAGGGGTTTCATTCCTGCTGCGGAATGTTTACACCTTTGGCTGCTGCTTCAGTTGCTAAAGGGGTAGGGATTGAGGGCGGCAAAATTGCAACTCAACCACAGTGTTTAAACCCCCCCTAACTTTGTGTGAGCAAGCCCTGAGGGTGCAACTAAGGGCTCATTCACAAGTGCAGCAGGCGCTGCTGCTAGTTCTGAAAAGCAATCAGTTTGTTTGACAGGTGGTGAGAAGGTTATATATGGCCTCCTCGCCACCTGATTTTAACCCATGATTGCCGTGCACTGCATTCAATTGTGACACAGTAGTATGGCAATTAAAGGTTTACAGGACACATTCACCTATTGAGAACCTGATACATGTTCCACCTGTTTTTAGGCTGGAACATGTAACATGTTCCCATAGCTGCAGCCATGCCCGCCGCCCCCTTTTCTCAGACAGATAATACGGGGAGCAGTTTCCCCATACTGTCAAATTTTAAAACAGTGGAGCTCCGCCCACATGGCCATGTCATTCAGTCACAGACTTCCGTGAATGAATGAACTGTGAGTCCCGACAGTATTAGCGGTTGTAGGCTTGTAGTTTACAATGAACTACCACTGTGCAGTGGAGCACCATTGAAGTTCACCGACGCTTCCTGCCAGAATATCTGCTTGTACATCCCATACGGCAAGCAGAAATTCTGACAGGTCTGCAGGAAACCTGCATGGAATCAGTGATCTACTGATCACTGGTGCAATGCTTTACAGGCTCCTTTGGACAAAAATAATAAATGCACATTTTTTTAACCTGCAAAAAATTGTGCATTTATTAATTCTGTCCAAAAGGTGAACTTATCCTTTAAATCAAATGTAAGGAGGCGACATTCTGCCCAGTGACCTTTGACCTCTCCCATGTTGTTCAGGTAGATCTCCACCTCTTTAAGCTTGCCTACCCATATTCTAGTCTAGAGTCTAGTCCAACAGCAATAAAAAGCACTAAAAAGGTGGTGTTGTCTGTACTGTCAAAGTAAAATTATAGGCAAAACTTTTTTTTTTTTAAATTTTGGATAGAGGAAGAGAAGCTTATAACCCCTGTCGGTTTATTTTTTGCCCACTGCGTCCTATTGGGATGGTTTACTATCACTTTATCACTTTCTGTCCCATAGCCAAAACAGGAAGGGAGAAAATCTCTGTAAATTGAGGGAATCCCTTGGGGATCCCCAGGTGACTACACCTGGTGTCACCATTGGAAAAATTCCCCTCTGCTACTTTTGTGGGGACAACCCATAATTTGGGGTTTCTTTTACTTTCACTTTTGATGATAACGGTAAACAGGACAAATACAGAGGGTAAAAAAGCAGCAAAAAAACCCCCAAAAAAAAAAAAACACTTAACAGGTGTTCTAATCCATCTCCAGTCTATACAAAAAAAAAAATTTTTAAAAAAAGACTCAATCCACTTGTGATTTTTGTGCTGGATACAGGTTAGGGGAAAAAAATAAAGCAGGTGACCTGAATGGACACAAATAAGAAGTTTCATTTACTTTATTTTCCTAATTCAAGCATCAAACTACTTTAAAAAATAACTATTTAAGTCTATGGACTTTAGTGTAATTATGTGCTAACCTACTAATAGAATTAACTGTGTTTAGACTGCAGCTAGCACTGTATGAGTTCCCACATATGCCCTAGAATATAATACCTCATATGGCATTATGAAAGTAGATGGAGATGGATTGAATACCTGGGAGATTTGAATGTGGAGGAATATCTGTGACTATACCTACCTGGTTTAAAGGGAAAAGCCATTTTGAACTAAAATTACTTTGGGTCAAATACTGGAGGTGAGAGTATATATACTGTATCTCTATCAATCATGGGGAGAGGAAACAAGAATGATCGAAACTAGATAATCAGGCACCACAAAGCAGAAGCAAACCTTGCACAAACTTTGCAGATAATATCAGGGGATGAAATACCACATTCAAACTAGACATAAGATAACACATACATCCTATATAAAAAGTACTTAACAGTTCAAGTTTTATTGGTGAAAAATGAGTTGCATTGCATTGCTGTGGCATTTATTTAGAATGGAATCCCAATGCACTTGTGCTGCGTCAAAAATTTTGTGGCACATCCAATTTTTGTTGCATTGGTAGCCTATTGATGTCAATGTAACAACGTGTGTTAATGCACCGTACAAAATGTAAATAGGCCCTAAATCACTTTTAAGATGGATTTATGTTAAGTGCTTGGCACCATTTAAAGTCTGCACCATGTGTGGATAGGTCTGTATGAGCTTTGCATATCTGAACACTGCAATGCTCCTATTTCTACTTGTGAAACTGATCAAGCTCTGCCAAAATGCATGGGGACTGTGACTCAGCTGTCTTCAAAATTCCATCCTTTGTCATCAGGGTATACAGTAAGGTATGCCACAATACTGACTCAACAGAATTTTGACATTCCATATACACATGTACTTTTAAAACAGTCACCTGACTACACATAGGTGAACTTAAAATGATTGCAAACGTTTTTTTAAATAAAAATCTTTATACTTACCTGCTCTGTGCAAAGGAATTCCACAGAGTAGCCCTGAACCTACTCTTCTTGGGTCCCCCGCTAATACTCCTGGCTCCTTATCTTTGTCCAGTGCCCCCATGGGAAGCAGCTTCCCATGGGGGCACTGGACAAAGATAAGGAACCAGGCCTTTGTGCGTGCTTGCTCTCGAGCCCTGCTGCTGCATCCACTGACACAGACAGCTGGACTTGGCCCCACCACCCAACTCTCTCATCACTGGCTTTGATTGACAGCAGCAGCAGGAGCCAACGGCATCAAGTGCCCCAGCAAACCTAGTGTGACACAGAAGCGAGGGGAAAGAAAGCTGCAGATGTTCACATCACTGGATCAAATGAGGGCTCAAGTAAGTAAAAAAGGGGGGGGGGGGGTTGAGGAGTCAAAACGGATGCCTGAATATTTTTTTACTACAGCTAACTTGGTCTTGGACATAGATTTTCTGGACATGTTTATAGATCCAGCAGTACAGGCAAAAGAAACCATGGACCACTGGCAAAGGAGAGTGCTGGTCACCATTCAATTAAGGTACCTTGTTATGACAAAAAACTGTCAACTGCCATTACCAACATGTTTTACTAGCTGCAAGCACCAAGGCTATCCTGTTTTTCCCTGTTTCACTACTCAGTCATTGACCTAAATACAAGCATGTGTTCTAACACTTGACTGCATGTGGCTGTTCCAGGTTAGTGACTTCCAAAGTAGTAAATAAAGGATGCTTCCAAAGCCTCATCAAAAGCAAGCCAGCAATGGTAGGCCCCATGTTTCTTTCCTTACAAAATACAATTTCAATTCAATACAAAGGTCCAGGACTATATCAAATCAAAAGACACTTCAAAGGAGTGTCTAAAACAGTGAATCCAACTGTTTCTACAGAAAGATACGGTATATCTCTGAAATGACTATATAGTTAAACAATGACAGACCCTCTAAAACAGGGGTTCTTAACCCTTTGAAGAGCGAGGACCACTTAAGTGATTTGGTAACTGGTCATGGACCACAAAGAAGTGAAATGGTTCAGAATTAAACATTTTTTTATTTTGAATAGCATAATGAACATTTTCCCCTGCAGTCTCTGAATGCCAGTGGGAGGGAGAAGAGGAGAAGCAAGCTTTCAGCTGTTGTTCCTGTATATGCCTCCCCTGCTGCCTTTCCTGTCCAAGTGCAAAACATAACATGAGAGGGAGGATGCACGCCCCCCCCCCCCCCCCCCCCCCGGAGCATTGGGCAGGGCTGCCATTGTGACCCCTAATACTTCACCAGTGGTTTGGGGGGGGGGGGGGGGGAGGGTAAAAACACATCTAAACTTAAAAATGTACACCTATGATAAAAAAAGTTATAGACCCTTCATTTCTTTGTAAGTGGGCAAACTTAAAAGATCTGCAGTGGATCAAATAATTATTTTCTCCACTGTAAATGTGACATTATTTTAGCAGGAGACAGAAGAGGGTTGTTACCTGGCACTGGCTGAAAAGATAGGGATGAGTCTTCCCTGCGGTCTGCTCGGGGTTGAGCCATTGAAGAGCTGAGGATTTGGGAGAGGTTTCAGAGCTGATTTCCACTATGGCTTCCTGCCCTCTGTAAATCAGTATGGACATGTTACAAGTGAAGTGCAATGAAAATACATACAACAGAATTGCAGGTGAAGAACACCAAAATATAAAAAATGGATTTTTGTATTTACCTGTAAAATCCGTTTCTTGCAGTACATCATGGGACACAGAGCAGGCTGAATAAACATTACTACCTGAGTTATGCACCACCTACAGGTGAATGGACACTCAGAAACAAAGACAGGAATCCCTCCCCCATATAACCCCGCCTCCAAAGAAGAGCATCAGTTTTGTAGCAATCAATACCCCCAATAGACAGGGGAGGGACCTCTGTACCCAAAGATGTACTCTAAGAAACAGATATTACAGGTAAGTACAAATATCTAGTTTTCTTTTTCGTACATCATGGGACACAGAGCAGGCTTAATAAACATGACTACCTGGGTTATGCACCACCTACAGGTGAATGGACACTCGGAAACAAAGATAGGAATCGCTTCCCCCATATAACCCTGCCTCCAAAGAAGAGCATCAGTTTTGTAGCAATCAATACCCCCAATAGAGAGAGGAGGGACCTCTGTATCCAAAGATGTACTCCAAGAAATTACAGGTAATTACAAAAATGTAGTTTTCTTTTTCGTGCATCATGAGACACAGAGCAGGCTTAATAAACATGACCACCTGAGATGTCCCAAAGTACTCCTCACAAGGGGAGGAAGACACAGCCACCACCATCAGGCCCCAAGCTACATAACAGCCCTCAAGACACTGCGAACAAACATAGCATTGTTGGCGGAAGTTACATCCTCCTTATAAAAACTCGTAAAGGTGTGAAATGAAGACCAGGTAGCAGCCTTGCATACCTGTTCCACTGAAGCCTGATGACAAAATAGTCCAAGAGGCCCCTACAATCCTCGTACAGTGAGCCATCAGTGAGTTACTCAAATCTTTAGGAGGAACAAACACCCTGGATGGGCCCATTCTGCAGAAACTATCTCCTCTAAATAGGGGCATAGCGGAAACATTTAATCCCCTTGAAGCAGCTGCCAGAAACCCAGCAGCGGATACTTTGGAGCTACAAATTCTAAATCAAGTCGAACAATCTCTGATAAAAAACTCAAAAGGGTCCTCTAGGCTTACGAGACACTCTGACTGACTTTCCACAGGCACCAAATCCTCCGAAGCCCACCAACTGACCCTCTTTGGGTTCTATTTCTGCTACATCTTCCTCAATGTCCACCCATTCCAGCACCAACACCAGAGGGCAGTTAGAAGAAGGGGGCACACAAGGAGGTAAACATTCCCGCAAGTGTATTCTCTAAACCTGCTAACATGGACGCCAAGTTCTCCTTAATCACATATGTCCTTTCAGTAGCCACCAGACCAGACAAACAGAGGGGCTCTGAACAACCCACCATACCTGACTCCTTATGGGAAACTGAATCAGTGGGACTCCTTCCAGTGCCCTCTAGACCTGATGACACCCATCCCAGCCGTGCTCCCTTCTTCTCACTTTCTATTAGACATAGTAGGTTGCTTACTTAAACTTGACATGTTTCACCCCAGAAAGTCTTACATTAGCAGTAAGGACATTTGATACCAAAAGGTATCCTAGGGGGAATACACCCCAGCTGCCAGTGTCCCTTCCCCACCACAGATGACTGTACCAACACCCATGGGTACCAGATATTGATGTGTTAGTTAAGCAAAAACAGTGTCAAATATCGCACTAGTTTTATTTTATCCTTTTACCTTTAGAATAAAAGATATTACGGAAAAAAACACAGTTTTATTACTCAGATAAGTATAATATCTATATCAGTGATTGCCAACATGTGATCTGCACAACTTTTTCTGCTCATCAGCTATCCTTATTGTTAGTGTATTTTAGGTTTGGTTCAAGACAATTTCTCTTCTTCCAATGTGGCTCAGGAAAGCCAAAAGGTTGGTCACCCTGCTCTAGAGCTTACCACATCTATTTGAGCTGTGCAGAATTTGTAGTGGCAAACTGTAGTGTTATGTAAATCCTAGGAGAAAAAAAAACAAAAAACACACCATATCAAGTAGCAGAGGCATCAAGGTGTGGGTGAAAAAGATAACTCACGAGATCATCAGCTTCACTGAAAAAACGGATTTGAAAAAAAATTTGAAAATTTGGTTTTGTGGCAAGCTGCCACTTCCTCAGACGTGGTGGGTTGACCTGCAGAGAGCTCAGTGTTCAGCATTCAGTCTTGCTGCTGTGTACTCTGCAAGTCAGCCCGCACAAGCCTGTATGGCACCACGTCTGCGGGAGTGGCAGCTAGCCACAAAACACAACATATTTGCTAGTCAGTAAAATCTATTTTTTTTTTTTTTACGTTGATAACTTTCTGAGTTATCTTTCTCATCCACACATTAACACCTCTGCTAGTTTATGTCTTTTTTGTTTTTTTTTTCCATTTACCTCACTTTTTCGAAGATCAGCTTGAGTACTATTCCAAATTTTAATTTGCAGTCTTACTCATTACAGGGTGGTAATACATGCACATCGCCTAAACCTCTTTCAAAGAAGAGTATGCACACTACAATTTCATTTGTAGAATTTCCTCTGGATTTAACTATCCAATGCAAAGACCAACCTGAAAAATCTATTCAGTCAATTAATTCTTGAAGATTGCATAACAAAGCTGTATGGCCAGCTTAGTAGAAATGAGAACAGGTGCAGCACTCACTACAGGTAACAGATTCATTAATCAGACAAGGAATCCAAAAGATGGGTGCTCTGCCTTACCGCGTCTCTCCGATCCACCGAAATCCAACGAAACAAAAAAATTGTGATCGGCAACTCCAACATCCCTATAAAATTTCTTTATTGTTGGCACATGAGTAGGTAAAATGCTAACATGTTTCAGAAAAAAAGCCTTGTTCACAGCATGAACATGCTATGAACAAGGCTTTTTGCTAAAGTATGTTAGCATTTTACTAGTCCTGTGCCAACAATATTTAATTTTTTTCAGGTGCAGGTGCACGCGCGCACGCACGCACACACACATCAGTCCCTATCCCTCAAGGGATGTACAATCTAAGGTCCCTAACTCACATTCATACATACACATACTAGGGCCAATTTAGACAGGATCCAATTAACCTACCAGCATGTCTTTGGAGTGTGGGAGGAAGCTGGAGTACCCGGAGGAAACCCACACAGGCACAGGGAGAACATGCAAACTCCAGGCAGGTGGTGCCCTGGCTGGGATTCGAACCAACGACCCTAGTACTGCCAGGCGGAAGTGCTAACCATTTAGCCACTGTGCTGCCAGTTTATACGGATGTTGGAGTTGCCGATCACATTTTTGTTTCAATGTATGGCCAGCTGTCAGGAACCTGTTCCCAACAGATTACTCAGGAAATCTGATACCTGCTGAATAGGTTAAATTCAAGCCGTGGTGGCCCTGTCAGTACCATCTGGCTTAACCAAAAATATATTTAAAAAAATGGACTCCACCAGGTGGAAAATTATCAAGAGAACAGTGGCTGCATTCTATAGCCTGTTTCACATGGGCTTCAGCTTGTATAACAGTGTGAACAGTGAGCTTTTATGAAGCTTTCAGCAAGCTTTTGCAAAGAATTTGGCAAACTGCAAGCAACTTTCTCTAAGTCTTTAAAGCGCTCCTTCAGCTCCTGTTTGGAAATGTTATACACAGATCTTAATGGGAGTGCTGATTGTCACGTTAAAACTAGCCGGGTTTAGCATGCTTTGACTAAGCCTTAAGTAGTACGTAAACCTGCAAGTAGCTTGTGTAAGAGGCCAATTGGCACTCACATTAGGATCTGTGTTCAATGTTTACAAACTAGAGCTGAATGATGCTATAGGGATGCAGCAAAATTTTGGAGGCTGAAACGTTTCGACCAAAAACACCCCTATCGGCTGCTGGCCGACATGAAAATAAGCACCGATACAGGTGCTGAAAATAACCCCGCTGCCCGCCCGCCGCAACCATCAACCGCCGTGACTCGGTGGTTCTCAGGCTTACCTGACAAACCACCGAAAGATCTCAGCAGTGAGCATAGAGATTTAGTGAAGGAAAGATGGCCTCCACTCATCTCTATGCCCTTGGAGGACCGGAACGACGTCACTTCCGCCTTGTAAACAAGGCCTTTTTTTTTCTTAAAACACTAGCTCAATGCTTTTTGTGATCTAATGCTTTACATCATAGAGGAAAGATGTGGGGTCTTATTGACCCCATATCTCTCCATAAAGAGGACCTGTCACTGCTTATTTCTATCACAAGGGATGCATGCATTTCTTGTGATAGGAATAAAAATGATTACATTTTGTATTTTTTTTTTAACTGTCCCTTTTTGAAAAAAAAAAAATGTTTTAAAGTGCCCCCGTCCTCGCACGTAGTGGTAAATGCATTTGTAGGCCATGCCCACATATGTAAACGGTGTTCAAACCACACATGTGAGGTATCGCCACGTACGTCAGAGCAAGAGCAATAATTCTCGCACTAGACCTCCTGTAACTTTACACTGGTAACCTGTATACATTTTTAAATCATCCCCCATGGAGATTTTTAAGTACTATAGTTTGACGCCATTCCACAAGCATGCACAATTTTAAAGCAGGACATGTTGGGTATCTATTTACTCGGCATAACATCATCTTTCATATTTTTCAAAAAAATTGGGGTGTGTATACTGTGGATTTATTTTTAATCATTAAAGTGGATTTTTTTCCCAAAAAAAAAAAAAAAAAATTGTGTTTGAAAAATATATTAATTTTTAAAAACTGTCCATTTTGCTTTCGGTTTTCGGCCAAGTTCATCTTGAATTTTTGGTTTTGATTTCGGTACTAGAATTTTCATTTTGGTGCACCACTGTTTAAAAGCTTTAGCAAAGCTTGTTGATAGCTATGAAAATGTTTTGTAAAAGCTTGCTGTTCACACCACTTTTATAGAAGATGAAGCCCTTGTGAATAGGACCCATCAGAAGCAGCCACTGATCAGGTATTCAGACAGCCATTGGTGCAGAGGCTGCCTGAATATAGAAGTTGGAGGTGCCAATCCCTACAACCATACTTGTTTGGCATTGATAGACACATCTAATAATTTTAAATCTAAACTATCTATGGTTATCCTATTATTCTTTTTAAAACAAATTCAGGTTCTAGATTGAACAGACCTGGAAAAACAATAACAGACATAAGGTTTGTATAGACTGAAGAGGAAAAAAAACTACTGAATAAGCAGGTTGTGGAACTGTCAAACACACATACTTTGTACTTGGATCAAAGTGATTAGGAATGTGCTGAAGACAATGATATGAAGGTAGTAAATGCATGCAATAAAATGGGTCATGTCACTGCAATGCATAGTACTGCAAAACCTAATCATAAAATTCAAAGAAAACTAAAGTACAAAGAATAGAAAAATCAGAATACACCTAGATAAATACTTTGTATCATTGCCACAAGAGATTATCAGAAATGGTATACACCAAAGGGTTCTTACTTAGTCAGAAAATGCCTGTTAATTATGTTGAAATCCAAAGTCCTATCTCTTAATTTGTACTGTAAAACCTTACTAATCAATGATCCTCTGTATACTGTACAAGAAAAAGTTCCTTCTGGTCTCCAGAAGCTTGTAGAAAGTTTTACCTTGTCAGTGGAGAGGGAAGACCGATCTCAAGAGGAGTGCCTTTAAAACTGTGACTTGTCCCAAGGGAAAATTTGGCCTCTTGTCCATTTACCGAAACTTTCTTTATGGTGAGGTCCTTGGTATCCAAAATCTAAGATTAAAATACAGGAAAAAAAAAAAAATCAGCAAACCTGAATGTTCGTTTATAGATTCATGAGAAATGAATAACTCAATCAACAAATATTTCAAGAAATTAAAAATAAAAGAAATATATATTAAAAACTGTTCAGTAATTCCATAAAAAATAGAGCCAAGTGTCAGTTTATAGAGTGCTTTATGGTAAGTTCATACCAATTAATTGTATGTTCAGTGTGCATTGCTTTACACCACAGGGGCCACAGCATGGTAAAGGAATGCTCCTCTTTTTAATACATAAACACCACATGATATGTACAAGTCTGAATACATGAGTGTGTATTTACAAATCTTGTGAAAATGCATGTTCAGAGTAAAATCAAATGTTATTAGGCTGTTTTTTTCTCCAAGGTGAATGTTATTCATTATTAAAGGAATGAATAATGAATCAGGAAAATGCTGCATTATGGCCACTAGATGTGCATAGGATATAATGTATTATGATCATCAGCAGTATCTTGTGGACATAAGGATAAACTGGAAGACAGAAGGGAGAGGGAGGTGAGGGAGATGGACGGTGGGCAGGACATAGTAGATGTAAGGTTTGGGAGGTACTGGGTAGCATCCATTCCAATATCAATGAATGTGGATCCTGACTGTTAAGGCCTCCTAATTCTGGAGAGAGTTATGGAATTCTCAGAATACAGACCAGATGGCCACAGTTTGGATATAGGTTTCCTGTGTGTACTTATTATTTATTTATTTCAGGTACTTATATAGCACTGTCAATTTACACAGCGCTTTACACATATATATTGTACATTCACATCTGTCCCTAACCCTCAAGGGGTGTACAATCTAAGGTCCCCAACTCACATTCATACATACACATACTAGGGCCAATTTATACAGAATCCAATTCACCTACCAGCATGTCTTTGGAGTGTAGGAGGAAACCGGAGTACCCGGAGGAAACCCACGCAGGCAAAGGGAGAACATGCAAACTCCAGGCAGGTGCTGCCGTGGCTGGGATGCGAACCAATGACCCTAGTACTGCCAGGTGGAAGTGCTAACCATTTAGCCATTGTACTTCCTGAGTCAAGAGCAGTTCTATGTGTAGGATATGGTCTAGTTCAGTGGCCCTTTCCAGCAGGGTTGGTGCCTTCTGTGATCATCAGTGAAAGGGGATTACCATTTGGGCCACATTGAAGTAGTGTCTAAGGGTTCTTATTTGACATTTTTAGTAAAACCTGTAAGCATAGACAGCAGTATAGTGAATTACTGGTTAGCACTGGGGTCCCCGTTTGAATACTGGTCAGTACACAACCTACTCTGAATGCAGAGAGTGCCGAACCACGAGAGACACTCCCCGTGCACGTGATGATGTCATCGTAGGCCAGCCTTTCCCATGGCCAGGGAATGCCATCCCAGAAGGAAAACCAGGCAAAGATAGAAGTGCCGGGAGCTGTGAGAGCTCAGTGCTGGAGGGCTCTGCTTGAAAGGTAAGTCTCTCATAATGTGCTAGTATGTGGTGCACCTTAGTACATTATATCAGAACACAGCAGAGGACCCATTCAAATAAAAATAGTTGGTAGAGCTTACTACTGCTTTAAGCTACAGTGACCATCATACACCGTACAATGGCTTAGTGGATAACAGTTCTGCCATGCAGCACTGGGGTCCAAGGTTCCATTCCCAGTCAGGTCACAATCTGTATAAAGTTTACATGTTCTCACTGGGCTTGCATGCATTTCCTCCCACACTCCAAAGACATACTGGTAGGCAAATTGGCCCTAGTATGTGTATATATGCCAGATAGAAATCCTAGATTGTAAACTACTTGATGGTAGGGACTGATACAAAATTTACTTGCAGGTAAAGTGCTGCGTAAGTTGTCAGTGCTACTACATAAACTATAAATGTCCTCATTTACCGTCCCTTTCAAAATTTCAGTATTATCTAGAACTGCATTTAGAGTAAAAGAGAAATCATTTTTCAGCAAAAAGATTGTACATATTAATGCAAAACCTTGTATGCATTAGAGATCTTGAGACCAAAATCTGGCAAACATCTACCACACGTGTCAAAACACAAGTTTCGAGGTCCAAATCCAGCCTGCCAAGCCCTTTTATGTGACCCTCACACCTTTCTTGCAGCTGCTGCACCCCCATCATCTCTGCCCTCGCCTGTCTCAGCAGTCGGCAACAGAGAGGATTACAGAACTCCTCCTACCCATCCTGTGCCCCTCTATGCAACCACAGCAATCCCTTGTCTCCACCTCCGCTGGTCTCAGCATTCAGCAGACTCCAGCCCTCCTCTGGGCCTCCTCCAGACCCTGTACTGATGTATCTGATGTAAGGGGGGGGGGGGTGCTCCGGACATCTAGTCTTACAGATACCACTGGGCAACCCCATAATGCTGATGTGGCCAGCAATTAAATGGAGTTTGACAACCCTAGTCTACCATCTCTGGCTAGAGTTATCGATCACAAAATTTTCCCCATGCACAGAAAACACAAGACCTTAGAAAAAGACATTCAACTGGTAGATCAGAGAAATTGGGGCAAAAAGGTAAATATAATTAGAACACAACATTGCTATGCAATCCACCACTTTCTGCTCACTGGATAAACATGGGACTGAAGAGTTTACAGTTTTCAGTAAGTACTGCAACACCACTTTTAAATCCAAATTTCCACCTTAGTTTCCTGATCAAACTGCAAACAATTTGTTAAGCCTGCAAGTCGAGTTCAAGTCCACTATAACGTAAAAGGGGCTACACCCTCTTAGCTATATACAGTGGATATAAAAAGTCTACACACCCCTGTTAAAATGTCAGGTTTCTGTGATGTAAAAAAAATGAGACAAAGAAATTATTTCAGAACTTTTTCCACCTGTAATGTGACCTATAAACTGTACAATTCAGTTGAACAACAAACTGAAATCTTTTAGGTGGAGGGAAGTAAAAATAAAAAACTAAAATAATGTGGTTGCATAAGTGTGCACACCCTTAAACTAATACTTTGTTGAAGCACCTTTTGATTTTATTCCAGCACTCAGTCTTTTTGGGTATGAGTCTATCAGCATGGCACATCTTGACTTGGCAATATTTGCCCACTCTTCCTTGCGAAAACACTCCAAATCTGTCAGATTGCGAGGGCATCTCCTGTGCACAGCCCTCTTCATGTCACCTCACAGATTTTTGATCAGATTCAGGTCTGGGCTCTGGCTGGGCCATTCCAAAACTTTCATCTTCTTCTGGTGAAGCCATTCCTTTTGTTGATTTGGATGTATGCTTTGGGTCGTTGTCATGCTGAAAGATGAAGTTCCTCTTCATGTTCAGCTTTCTAGCAGAAGCCTGAAGGTTTTGTTCCAATATATACCAATATAGGCTGGTATTTGGAACTGTTCATAATTCCCTCTACCTTGACTAAGGCCCCAGTTCCAGCTGAAGAAAAACAGCCCCAAAGCATGATGCTGCCACCACCATGCTTCACTGTGGGTATGGTGTTCTTCCAGTGATGTGCAGTGTTGTTTCTGCACCAAACATATCTTCTGAAATTATTGCCAAAAAGTTCAACTTTGGTTTCATCAGACCATAACACATTTTCCTACATGCTTTTGGGAGACTTCAGATGTGTTTTTGGAAAATTTTGCCAGGCTTGGATGTTTTCCTTTGTAAGAAAAGGCTTCCATCTTGCCACTCTACCCCATAGCCCAGACATATGAAGAATAGGGGAGATTGTTGTCACATGTACCACACAGCCAGTACTTGCGAGATATTCCTGCAGCTCCTTTAAATGTTGCTGTAGGTCTCTTGGCAGCCTCCCAGACCAGTTTTCTTCTCATCTTTTCAGCAATGTTTGGAGGGACATCCAGTTCTTGGTAATGTCACTGTTGCACCATATTTTCTCCACTTGATGACTGTCTTCACTGTGTTCCATGGTATATCTATGGCCTTGGAAATTCTTTTGTACCCTTCTCCTAACTGATACCTTTTATCATTGAGATCCCTCTGATGCTTTGGAAGCATCTAACTAACCCTTCACCCACACATGTTCCCTCAGTAGATCCCTGCAGCCAATCAAGTCAACTCCAGCAACTGAAACTCCCCAGACTTTGCTGAGGGAGCCCATGGACATGCCAATTTATGTGTGACTGCAATGTGCCAGGCACAGCATAAGAAGAAAGCACCTGCATCCAGAGAGAATGGTACCTCACCAGCCCAAAAGGAACGCCAATAATGCAGTGTGGGGTCATTAAGGTTTTATTGTAGTCTTGTGATGAGGGGGTTAGGCGGAGATGAAGAGGGAGCAGGGTGAGAGAAGAAGACAGGAGAAGGGTACAGGGGAAGGTCAGGAGTGTGGGGAGGGGGGGGGGGGGGGGGTGATGGTGAGAAAAACATCATCGGCTTTCAGAGAGAACAGCAGGTTACCAACTGAGAAGGAGGTTCATCAGTACAATCAGTACAATCAGTGAGTGTGGTGGTTTTCACAGCCAGTAATGGTTTAGTTTAGAGTGGGGGGTAGGTAATACGATGGGAGGATTGGTGATAGGGTGACAGAGGCAAGAAGATGAGAAGGTGGGGGGTGTAGAGCGATAAGTGTGGAGGAGTTATACAACTTCAAAAGTTGAGGGGAAAGGAAGAGCTTGGTGATAGGACGGACCGATGGGAGGATGTGTTGGTGGAACATGATGACAGGAGCTTAGACGGGCAGCAGGCAAGATGTGACTGGGGGGCTGATCAGCACTTTAAAGCTCCATGCACACTAGTGGTTTTTTTGGTGTTGTTTTTTAAGCTAAAAAAATGCTGGAAAAAAAACACAATTTTTCTGCTCTTAGATGCTGAAGCTCAAACAATGCTAATGGCCTAAAGTAGTGTGCATGAACACATAGGAAAACACTATTTAGCTCCTTGGAGCAGAAAAAAAAATGCTAATACTAATAAGCTTCTAGGAGGTTTAAAAACGCTAGTGTGCATGGAGCCTCAAGCTACACTTACTGAGTAGTGCCAGTC